CCTGTTGCTAGTGTAGATCTTTGTCTCTCTAGTCTAGGTGCTTGTGTTTCCGCACTAGGTGCTTGTGTAGCTACTAGCCCAGGTGCACCCACGGATGAGGAGTCGCTGTCCTTCACGCTCGACTTTGGCGCGTCGTAGTGCTTCTTCCATGACCACACGACTCTCACAACGTTTCTTACTCCAGTTTCGGTTGCCCAGGATGAAACTACTTCAGGACCAGCAATTGCATGCAGCTTTATCTCTCTCCCATGCCCAGTTGTCCCATTAGGTGTCCTTAGAGGTCTCCACATCCCTTAGTTTACTCAGAATTTGGTGGGTGTTGGATACCCCCAGGATAGAGGGATTACAGTTACCTTTCTGGGAGGCGGGCGGACTGCGGTCTGCACGGACGCTGCCACCGGTGTCGTTCTTGCCACGTTCACCAGGGAGCCCCACTCCGGTCTCTACGTCCTTCACACTGAGCAAAAATAGGTAGCCGCTTCCCCTCACGTTCCTGTGTCTGGTCAGGTTGCCGCGTTGTGCTCCTGTCGGTCAATCACCCACCCGATAGTCTTGTGGCACCATCCTCTTGGTCACCCATCCCTCCCACGCCTCCACAGCATGGCTAGCCAGCGTCTTGTCTCGAGTCTCCCACGCGTCTTTCCGTCGATCCCTCCTTCGCCTGCACCGCCGTGCACTCTTTACGTCGAGGGTCGGCTGCGGGCCACTCCTCACTCCTCATCCCTTCGTATGGCCATTGCACCTTACCATACTCTCTACTTGGACGTTTGGGGCCCCGCCCCTCGCCTTGGGCCCGAGAGGGAGAGCTTCTTTCTAGTGGTCGTTGACGACTTCTCCCGTTACACCACCGTGTTCCCTCTGGTGAAGAAGTCCGACGTGACTTCTAGTGGTTGCTCCAGTGGTTGCTGGCCACTGAGACCACACGTGGCCGATGTGTTAGTTGTATTCACTTCGCCCGTGGGGGTAAGTTTCGCTCCGGCAATCTTCGCAGATATTGTAGCGAGCATGGCATCCCCCAGCCCTAGACGCTTCCAGAGTCCCCACAGCATAATGGGGTTGCTGAGCGCCGCTTAGGCTTGGTCATGTAGATTGCGCGTACCTCCATGATCCATGCCCGTGCGACCCATTTTAAATGGCCCTACACTGTTCGTTACGCCGCCCACCAGTTGAACCTCTTTCCTTGTGTCTCCCGGCCAGGGGCTTCACCGACCAGTCTTTGGACTGGGTCCCCTGGTGTTGCGTCATAGTTTCGTGTCTGGGGCTGTCTTGCGCTTGTCCGCCATACCTTTATGGACAAGTTTTTGGCCCGCTCCATCCCCTGTGTCTTTCTTGGTTTCCCGGTGGACTCCGCTGACTAGACCTTTTACCACCCGCCCCTCCACCGGTTATTTGACTCTCGTGACATCCAGCTTAGCGAGTCTTTGTCCTACTACATCCGGTACCCTTGTTGAGGTCTCTCGGTTCCCCCCCCTCCCCTTTTTCTCGCCCCCTCTCCTCCTCCTGCTCCTGCTCCTCCGGTACCCCCGCCCCCCTCTAGTCCTGCCCCATCAGGTGTGTCTCACGTTACCCCTCTACCCCCGGTCGCGTGTCAGGTTGTGTCTCCCTCCCCGCAGTCCTCCTTACAGTCCCCTCAGCAGCCTTCCGCACTTCTGCAACAGGTTACTATGGACTCCGGAGGTGTTGAAGTTGGAGGTGATGCCACTGGAGGTACTCGTTATAGGGGTGCTATTTTGAGGGGTGCTGGAGTTGAAGGTGCTGGCGTTGGAGGTGCTAGTTCTGGGAGTGTTGGTGTTGGGGGCACGGACGCTGGGGGTGCTAGTTCTGAGGTTGCTGGAGGTGAGGGTGTTAGCGCTGGAGGTACTGTTGTGATGGTGCTGGAGCTGTGGCTACTGGCGCTAGAGGTGCTCATTCTGGAGGCACTGGCGCTGGGGGTGCTAGCACTGGCGGTGCTAGTTCTGGAGGTGCTCGTCCTACTGACACTAGTTCAGGGGGTGCAGGAGCTGGAGGTGCTAAATCTGAGGAGACTGGAGCTGGAGCCACTGCCACTGTGGCGCCTTCCCCACCTCCCCACTGATTCCTTACGAGCTTCCAAAGACCTCCCGACGCCTTCCCCTGTGCGTTAAAATTCATTCATTGTTTTTATTTCATTATTGTGTGTTAAGTCGAACCGAACGTAAGCAGGTATTTTTTGCGACCAAAATGGTCGCATATACGATACAAAACAGCAAACCCGAAATATAGTCCCTAAATCTGTACAGTGTTTCAGGGCGGGTCAACGAAGTGATGACGGAGTATATATGTGAGAGCAAACTTTCGAGTGTGACTACCCGTGATAGATTTTAGTGCCTTTGAGTGACGGCGGGTAATACCCGTGTGATGGTTAGTGACAAATTTGGTGGGTTTTTTTACCGTTCGTGATAGTGCCGTGATTGCTCGTGATAACTCCGAAATGTTTTATGACGGCCCGTATATATATAAAAAAAACCCATTGGAAATGGCATCAACCCTAAACACATTGACGCATGGTGTTTAGGGTTGATGCCTTTGAAAATATGCCAGCCGTTAGGGATTTAGTTTTGTGCGTGGTAGCCCTGACGGCGTGTTGCAATTCGCAGTGCCCTGCATCGGCTCGGCTCGTGGCACAGGTTTAGGAAGGCTCCGAGAACGCAAGAGGCCGTAAATGTTTTTCAGGAAATGTGCAAAAAAAAGATGTAATATTAAAACCTTAGAAAATAACTTTTTGCATCACTATCTTGAAAGCTTTCTTTCCCATATCAGTGCCCGTGTTTGGCCTCCCGCCTGCTTGGAGCCTTCCAATTGTCCTGAGCCGATGCAGTGCACCGGCAATTGTAACACGCCGTAAACAAGCTCCATTCTCCTTCCTCAGCAATTGGCGCATCTGAATATAGGTAGATATTTGGACGAATGAGAGACCGATTTTCTGGTTGTCGCACTAATGTTCCCGTGTGAGCGTGAAATTTGTGGAAACAGTCCCGTGTTAGCGATTAAGTTCCCTTAAAAGATGGATATCTACAGTAACAGTCCTTCAAAATCTGAAACCCTTTGAAATTGGTCGGAGTGACCAACCGACTCCATGAGCTACGGCTGTCGCAGAATCATGCTGTGCTGGAACCGACATTCGAAAAACCCGATCAGCGTTTCGGGAAACGCGTGTCGGCCACACTGTGAGCGCGAAGCTGGTTGGGGGGCGAGGAAAAGGCCGTCGGATCCGGAAGTTCCAACCAGAACGAAGTGCTGTTCGCAGCGCTGTACAGTGCAGCGCTGTACGTGTATCATGTGATGCTGATATGACACGTGACATGATACACGTACTGTACCAGTTGCAGTGCTCTTCTCATCAGAAGCAGCCGTTGCCGCGGAAGCCCAGGCAAGGCATTGGTCGGACAAATAATGTGATCGTTGGGGCTGCCCAAACATGGACCCTAGCTTGTTTTGGACTTACTCCTAATTATTTCTTGAATGCGAATTCAGAAAGGAATCAGGCGATCGGAGGAGGATATATGAATGGCTGGAAATTCGATAAGATGCCATCAGCCAGACTCGGTTGCTATTTCAGCTGTGGAGGGATTCCGCGAAGAGGAAAGACTCCGAGCCGTCCTTTCCATATAAAGTGTTATCAGAAAATGTTCCATTGCCATGGGTGCTGCTGAAGGATTGAAAAAACCGCACCTTGCACGTTGTGCCGACACCGACAAGGAACAGAGCAGTTCCCAGGGCAGCCTTCCCCTCCCTCCGTGCCCTCCTCTCAGGCCTACCCCTCTCCGCCTCATCCCGCCCCGCCGTGGGCCGTTGCTCTCTTCCCAAGACAACCCTGCCCCTGACACCAGTTTCATCTCGCAGGTCCCGCGCGACCGCAGAAGCGACAGTGCTGCCGACACGTAACGCGGAGCGAACACCACTCGGCGAATCATAAGAACCGCTCTAAAACGCACAATATTATTCTCAACCACTTGATCTGAAGAAGAAACGAGGGTTACGAAATGCTGCCATCCTGGAACGACACCTGATTTTATTCCACGCTTTTCAAGCGCTTTCTCTTCACCATCCTCTTCTTTCTCGCTCTGCTTCCCACACAAGCATGGATTCACAGATTCTCTGTTTGGTGGATACTGTACTACTACCTGTCGCAAAGCTTGCACAAGAAGCTTTGGTAGATTTGTCATCGGCGGCTGCAGCTGTTAAGGCTCCCGTGTTTCGGAGCACCGAATGAGCAGATACCGCATTGTGAACAATGGCATACAGTACACGTAGTACTTTTACAGAACACACCGTAAGTTCTGTGCCATGCCATCCACGGAATGACGCGACCGTTTCGTTAGGCACCAAGCCCCTGCTTTTCCGAGATATCACAAGCCCCTGCTTTTCCGAGTCGCTGCTTTTCTCTTGGTCATTCAGCATCGCTTCGCAGGCGTCAAGCACTTAGAAAGGGCCGCGTCCCTCCCTAGTGATAGCCTTAACGATAGCCAGAAAGGTAGCCTTTGCCGAGCCAAGTCTCCCGCATCTGCCTGATTTAAAAGCTTAGCAAAGTGATGTCGGCACTTCTCGTGCATACTAGTAGCTCGTTCAGACTCTGTCCACCCACGGGTCGTTAGTGCGACAATCCTTAGAGTTTGCGGTTCAATCCGTGAAGAGCCAATTTTCCTGTTGCCGCCAGGTTTGAGCAGCCGCTCTAGCTTCTAGCTTTACTACTAGACGCCGTCTCATAACTCATTCAGTGTTTCTAAGCCAGCTTCTTAACTGCAATGCTGCACGTGACTCCGTGTCACTGTTCTTGGTTTAGACTAGGGTTTGCCGTGACTCGAGGCACTTTTACCTGGGGTGGGAGGATGACGGCAGAGCGAAGAAGTATGTCGAGCAGAAAGAGGATAACGAGAGTGAAAACAGACGGACTGTTTGGAGGATGGATAAATGGAGGTCTATCCAGACGGCTAAGCGGTCGGTTGAACGGACAACAGTTAATGATGGTCGCAATGCTGGCGATGGTTGCGTGCTTACCGGTGATGCAGTTACCCGTCGTATCAGCCGGCGTCCCCGTGCATTCATCGCAGAGTGAGTTCGGCTGGATTGTTTTCAGATTCACGACTCGAAAGAAACTCTCGAGGCGCCTCAAAACTCGCGACTCAAAACTCGAAGGAGCTCCGATTCCAGTTAATGTGTTGCTAGTCAGGTCGGTCATCAAGGCGCTTCATAAAGAGATTGTTACCAGTTAGGTCGGACCTGATGGCTGTCTCCTTCGCGAAATCTCGTATTCGCGAATATTGGAGCTCGCTGTGCCAACTTAACTCCGGGCCGGAGAGTCCTCGAGCGGCTGCCGTCGCAGCCTTCGCAGCCGTCGCAAAGACGCCACCGTTTCTCCCCTCCTCCCACCTCCACCAATCCTCCTTTCCCCCCTCTCCTCCCCCTCTCCTCCCGCTCTCTTCCCCCTCTCCTCCCGCTCTCTTCCCCCTCTCCTCCCCATTCTCCTCCCGCTCCTCCTCCCCTTTCTCCTCCCCTTTCTCCTCCCCTTTCTCCTCCCCCTTATCCTCCCCCTCTTTCCGCGTAACTTCGCCCTCAGCGGCCGCGATGGAAGCGATAGCTGCCACGTGGGCTAGCGCTACGGCCTCGTGGGTGTCTGGGGAGAATTGTGACACGTGGCTGGGTGTGGTGTGCGACGTCGACGGCTACGTGACGCAGCTGTGAGTCGGTTTTTGAGGTCCTTTCGTGCTATGTGTTCAAGAGAGAGTAGGGGGATCTGCGACTCGTGGCTGGGGGCGGTGTGCGACGTCGACGGCTACGTGACGCAGCTGTGAGTCGGTTTTTGAGGTCCTTTCGTGCTATGTGTTCAAGAGAGAGTAGGGGGATCTGCGACTCGTGGCTGGGGGTGGTGTGCGACGTCGACGGCTACGTGACGCAGCTGTGAGTAGCACGGACTGTAAGGGTGAGCGGATGAGGGGAAGGGGTGAGCGGGTGAGGGGAAGGGGTGAGTGAGCGGAAGGGGTGAGCGGATGAGGGGAAGGGGTGAGCGGGTGAGGGGAAGGGGTGAGTGAGCGGAAGGGGTGAGCTAGGTAGTGGTGGTGAGCCAACGAGCGGAATAAGGGTAGACAGGGGTGAGAAAATGAGGGGGTTTAGGGATAATGGTGCAGACGAATGGGAAGGGATGGTGGGGGGTGTGGATGGTAGCCGCTTGTGATACAGTCCCCGCTCCGTTCTCTTCGCATCGTTCAGCCAGCCAAAAAGACTTTTGAGTCGACTCAAAAGTTGCATCATTCAGACAGCCGAACTGGAAAGTTTGTCATCCAATCTAATCTACATTTCCCCCTGAACCTCAACGTGATTGATTCTTTTCTTTGGCCGTTCCCCGCTAGAGTAATGTTTCAAGCGTGGCATGACTCCCCCTCCCCTTTCCATTCTTCCCCCCTCTTCCCTCCTCCCTCCCTCCCCTCCCCCCCTCCTCTCTTTCCCTTCTCTCTTTCCAACCTCTTCTCCCCTCTTCCCCCCTCTTCCCCATCCCCTCCAATCCCCCGTTCTCCCCCCAGTGACCTCAGCGATCAAGATTTGGAGGGAACGATTCCCGTGGCTTCGATTGCCTCGCTAGTCACATTAGAAGAACTGTAACTCTCTTTCTTCTTTTGTGGGGGGGAGGGTGGGGGGCACCTTGTTACTCTCTGAATTTCTGCGCCTGCACTCTTGCCTGCAATACTACCTGCTTTGGTTGTATTGATTTGATTTTTTGTTTGTTTGTTTTTTATTGATTTCCGTAGTTTCTTTCCCCACCCTTTTTTCCCTCCTCTCCCCCTCACCAACCTAAACCTCTGACTTAATTGACAATGACCCGCACTCGAATTTACTCCACACGGATCCACACAGTTCCACACAGTTCCGACTATCTTAAAATCCCCACTGTCCTCCTCATCCCTCCCCCTCCCCCCCCCACCTTTCCCTCACCCACCCCCACCGTTTACACCCCGGTTTCCATCCCCACCCCACCCCTCCCGGCGTTTCCCCAGCAAGCTACACGACAACTCAATCGAGGATGATCTACCAGCCGGATTCAGCTCCCGCATCTCCTCCCCTCCTAGAGTCCCTGTTTCCTTCCTCATTCCTGCTCCCCTGCGTACTCCCCGTTTCCCTCCCCATCCCTCCTCTCTCTCCTGCCCCCCAGCAAGCTGCACGACAACTCAATCGAGGATGAATTACCAGCCGGCTTTGGCTCACTGACTGCGCTCAGCATACTGTGAGTGCGCTCAGAATGCATATTGAGTAAGCGAGCGCTCAACATACTGTGAGAACAAGGGGAAAAAGCATAGTATGTTGAGTCCGCATCTCCAAGACGAAAAAGCATGCATAATGTGCCATTGTTTGTTTGTGACAACAAGGGGACTTTTAAGTCGACTTATAAGATGCCCCTGCCAGCCGATTTCAGCCCGCTGACTGCGCTCAACATACTCTGAGTGCTCTCAGCATGCAAATTGTGTAAGCGAGCGCGCAACATGATTGTGAGTGCGTATTCACAAGATGGGAAAGTGTTCACGTGCCATCTTTTTTTGAGTCGACTCAAAAATCGACTCACTACATGCCATCGTACTGTCACAACAAAATGACTTCTGCGTCGCTGACTGGCCGCGCTCAACATTTTTTTTTTTGGGGTGTGTTTTTGTTTTTATGTTTATGAATTTGCATTGTTGGAGTCTCGATTCCCTTTGTGCTCCAATGTGAGTTGCTGCATTTGCCCGCACTGATTCTCAAGTCGAATGAACAATCACCTGCGGTGTGTGCCTGCTGCACTCCTCGCAGGACTCTGGGTCGCAATGAAATCACCGACTCCCCATCTACCGGTTACCCCCAGCTGCAAAAGCTACGCAAGCTTAGTCGCTGAACAATCACCGACTGAACAACCCTCTGCGTGTGTGTCTGTTGCCCCCCTCCCAGGACTCTGGGTCGCAATGAAATCACCGACTCCATCCCCACTGGCTACTCCCAGCTGCACAAGTGACCCAAGCACAGTTGATTGAACAAGCACCAACTGAACAATCTTCTGCCTGTGCGTGTGTCTGTTGCCCCCCTCCCAGGACTCTGGGTCGCAATGAAATCACCGACTCCATCCCCACTGGCTACTCCCAGCTGCACAAGTGACCCAAGCACAGTTGATTGAACAAGCACCAACTGAACAATCTTCTGCCTGTGCGTGTGTCTGTTGCCCACCTCCCAGGACTCTGGGTCGCAATGAAATCACCGGCTCCATCCCCACTGGCTACTCCCAGCTGCAGAAGCTCAGATTTCTGTGAGTGGTTGAGCTTTTGAGGTATGCTAAGGAATGTGAAGGGATGCAAAGGGGCGCATAGGGATGCCAAGGGATGTAAAAGACGCATCTCAAGAGCAAGTGCTCGTTAAATTTGTGTTTCTTTGGTCGACTCAAATCACCTCGTGCTCCCACTGCCCTCAGCCATCTCAGCATTCACAGCCTGACTAAACCCTCTGATTGCTTCCTCCCCACGCCATCCCCTCTGTTGGCTTTCTTCATACAATGGTGTGTCGTTTCTTGCACTCCCTGCAGGTGCCTCAGTGCCAGCCACATCTCAGGGGGAGTGCCGTCGGAACTCGGTGCTCTCACCTACCTCTGCCATCTCAGCTTCACACCCTGACCAAACCCTCCCCTCCCTCCCGCCCCCCTCCTCTCTCCCCCCACTTCCTCCCCCCCACATACCGTCGTTCCCCTTCTCAATATGCTCTTCTCTTCTTTTCTCTGCAGTCTCCTCAGTGACAACCGCCTTGCAGGGCAGGTGCCATCGGAACTTGGAGCTCTCACTGACCTTGAAGCCCTGTGCGTGTGACAGTAGCGAGCTGCTCTCTAGTGAGATCAGAGCTGATTCATGTGACAGTAGCGAGCTTTAAGGCTGTGTGCGTGTGACAATAGCGAGCTGTTCTCCAGTGAGATCAGAGCTGATTCATGTGATAGTAGCGAGCTGTAAGGCTGTGTGCGTGTGACAATAGCGAGCTGAGAGCATATCTGTGTGGGAAGAAACATGAGAATGATTCATTCGTTCATAAGCTCTAGCTTTCCTGTTGTGGCTTGTTGCCTCCTACACTCTTACTCTACTTCCCAGGTTTCACCAACTTTTAACCCCTACATACCTACCTTCCCCACCCTCCTCATTCCCCTCTCCGCCTTCCCCGCATTGTAAGCTCGGGTCATTTTGAAAGCTCCCAAAAGAATCTCTTGTCTGGCAAGCAGCATTACAGTAGAAGTACTCCCTATCGCTGCAGTGATTTTCTGAGAATTCTCAAAAAAACCCTGCAGAGTACTCCCTGTCAACTCCCGTCAATCTCCTTTCCCAACGTTATCCACACCCACCCATCCCTCCCTGCTCCCGCCACCCGCCATCCGCCACCTGCCACTCTCTATTAACTCCCCTCTCAAACGGTCCTTCTCCCTCCAGCGACCTGAGCCAGAACCGGCTGCGTGGCAGAGGTCATTGCTCCCCCCCTATCAACTCCTTTCCCATTGGCCTCGACCTTCTCCCTCCAGCGACCTGAGCCAGAACCGGCTGCGTGGCATGGCACTGTGATGGCTTTGACGCGCTCAGCGTTTTGACGCTTTGACGCCCCTAGTCCGCCCTCCCCCCCCCCAGTTTGTATGGCATTTTCGGTTGCTGGTTGGAAACCGTAGAATGGGGTTTCCAAAGGAGATTTGTGCTGAAGTACTAGGGGATAGGTTGGGTTGAGTAGTTTCAAAGGGGTGGAGGGTGGTTTGGGAGTTGGTTTTGTTGGGGCCTGCTTTGGGGCCTCATAATGTCGAGTTGGTTAGGTGGGTCGCGTCTTGGGCTCGGAAATTCGAATTCGATTTGTTTTTGACAGTTTTTTATTTACGAAGTCGGGCTGCCCAATATTCTACTAGCAGCGTCAAGCGTCAAAACGGTTTGACGCGTCAAACGTCAAAGCGAGGCGTTTTGACGCTTGACGTTTTCAGTTCTGAGCGTTAAAGCCATCATAGGCGTGGCAGCATACCGGCAGAGGTCATCGCAACTCTCCCCTCAACTCCTTCCCCATTGTGAATCTGACCTCCTCCTCACTCCCCACCCGTCCCTCCCCTGCCACCTGCCACTCTCTTGATTACCCTCTCCCCTCTCCCCTTCCCCAGCGATATGAGAAAGAACCGGCTGTCTGGCAGCATACCAGCACAGGCGACCTGAGCAAGAATTGGCTGTCTGGCAGCATACCCAAAGAGGTCATTGCTCTCCCCCGTCAACTCCTTTCCCAATGCTATTCCCACCCTTCACTCGCCTCCCACCCATCCCCCTGCCCTGCCACGTGTCACTCTCCTCATTCCCCTCTCCCCTCTTCCCCAGCGACCTGAGCAAGAATTGGCTGTCTGGCAGCATACCCAAAGAGGTCATCGCTCTTCCCAACCTCATTTACTTGTGAGTCCGGGGAATGTGACAACAGCGAGCTGGTGAGGAGATCACCGGGCATGTGTTTTCGTTGCAATAACGAGTGGCGTATTGTGTCATTAGCTCCCCGACTTTTGAGGCGCCTTGCCTAAAGATGGAGTTCATAATTGGCTTTCGCCTCAAGTGCTTCTCTAGAATTCTCGACTAGCAGGGCATGTGGCTTTACTCGACTTGCCCTCGGCGCGCTCAACCTCTCTCACCCGCGCATCGAACTCGCCGGCATGTGACTTCCTTCCTTTGAAAGGCCATGAAAGGCCATTCAACTAACCATTGGAATCGCCAGCTCTTCTTTTGTACCAGCTCGAGTGTGATAAGTCAATTTTGAGTCGAATTTAAAACACCAGCTCTCACTCATTCAACTTCCTTTAGCAAACAGCCCGTTTTCCTTCTTCCTCCTTTCTCCCTCTACTCCCTTTTTCACTGTCCTGCCTGCATCACATCACAGTGACAGATCCAATAACGAGTTCTCAGGCCCCCCACATGACTTACAGCATCCCTCTTTCCTTCCCCCTCTCCTCCCTTCCCTCCCCCTCCCCTTCCGTGTTCTCCTGCCTCCCTGCATCACATCACAGTGACATATCCATTAACAAGCTCTCAGGTCTCCTCCTTTTGCTCCCCCCTCCCCTACTCCCTTCACTTTACCTTTCGTGTTCTCCTGCCTACATCACAGTGACATATCCAATAACGAGTTCTCAGGCCCCCCACCCACGGGATTTGCCAGCACCTCCTTTCAGTCCACCTCTGAGGCCACATACAACATCGAGAGAAACTATTTCAACGGCTCGGCCAAAGTCAAGATCACAGCGGGCAGCGGAACAATTTCTTTCTGCCCGAATGCACTCCAAGGGGGATTCGCCCAATCATCACTTCTGGCCTACAGCCCATCTCTGTATGGGTCTGTGAGAGGAAACTGCATGGTAACTTCTGGAACTGGGACATGCACATCAGACAAGCAGCGGAGGTCCACTGATTGTTTGGCGTTTTGTGGCGCGAGCACTGCTGCAGGGCCGTGCGGCGGGCACGGGCGATGTTATTTGTCCGGAGCTTCGCGCATCCCGACGTGTGAATGTGATACAGACTATAACCCGTATATTGCGACACAGAGTGGGGTTGCGTACCCCTCATGCAGCACGGCTGTTGTGGCTAACCCGCCCCCGCCGCCCCCGCCTCCCCCACCAGAAGGTATGTACACGTTATAGAACTCCCCAGTCCTGCTCTTAGAGTTAAGCTCGTGTGCCAATTTATCAATTATGGGTCTTCCTGACATGCGCGCACACTCTCACACACTCATGCACGCAGGTACGTACTCCTTTCTTCCCTCGTCCCCTTTATAAACAGACCCTGATAAGCGCAAGCCTGGCCTCAAGGATACGGACTACCAAGCTGTCGGAACCAAGGTAGGCAAAGATATGTTAAGGCAGTTTCTATATCATGTTATATCAGATCGTAAGCTATTTCTTTTCCTCTCCTTGGGATACAATGGCACAACCACCAGGCTATCCTTGCCTCCGTTTACTTGTCTTTCCCTCTCTCTCCCGCACACCTTCCCTCAGCCGCTCACCCATTTCAACAAAGTTCTTTCGCTACGTGAGCCTGGGATACAACGGCATGAATGGAATGATCGAACCACTCCCTCCTCTCCTTTCCCCCCACTCCCTGGTGCCCTTCCCCACTCCCCTCCCCCCAGCCCCTCACGAATTTCAACAAGTACTTTCGTTATGTGAGCCTGGGGTACAGTGGCACAGCTAAGGAGCCCTCAAGGACGCACAAGACTGCGGTGGACTGGCGCACTCAGACTCGAGTCTCTCCACTTCCCCCCTCTCCCCTTACTCTTCCAACTTCCCCTTGTCCCCCCCAGCCTCTCACCCATTTCAACAAAGTTCTTTCGCTACGTGAGCCTGGGATACAACGGCATGAATGGAATGATCGAACCACTCCCTCCTCTCCTGTTCCCCCACTCCCTGGTTCCCTTCCCCACGCCCCTCCCCCCAGCCTCTTGTCAATTTCAACAAGTACTTTCGCTACGTGAGCCTGGGATACAGTGGCACAGCCACAAAGCCTGCATGGACGTACAAGACTGCGGTGGACTGGCGCACGCAGGTTGTCAGCAGGCAGAAACGGACCGTCGTGGGGCCCACGGTCGACCAGGGCACGTGCGGTGAGTGTGGGTGGGGAGTGGGGAGTGGGGAGAGGGAGAGGGAATTCGGGAGAGTGCGGCTAGGGTGCTCGAAGCAGCCTAGACGGTACTGTAACTCCCTCTCTCCTCTTCTTTTTCCACGCCACCCCTCCCGCTCCCCACTTCCCCCCCACCAGCTGCGCGTTGGGCGTTGGTGCCAGTAGCAGCAAATTAAGCAGCCTATGTGATAGCGTTTGGGTCGAACCAGCCCAACATTCCTCCCATTTCTCCTTTCCTTCTCTATCTCTCCTCCCATCTCCCCTCCCCCCTCCTATCAGCTGCGTGTTGGGCGTTGGTACCGGTGGCAGCGATCGAAGCAGCCTACGCGATAGCGTTCGGGTCGAACCAGCCCAACATCTCGGGGCAGCACATCCTCAACTGCCAGGGCACGTGGGAGTGTCCCTTCCACTCGTCCCCCTCTTATCCCTCCAATCCCACCCCTCGTCATCTTCTCTCTCTCCCACTCCTTCCACCTGCCCCCCTTCCCCCACCCCTTCCCTCCTGTCAGCCGCGTGTTGGGCTCTAGTACCGGTGGCAGCGATCGAGGCAGCCTATGCCATAGCGTTCGGGTCAAACCAACCCAACATATCGGGGCAGCACATTCTCAACTGCCAGGGCACGTGGGAGTGCGTGGGGGGGCTTCCTTCCGACGCCTTCCAGTTCGCTGCCTTGGGGGGAGTGCTGCCTGAGTTCGTAGTGCCGTACACGGGCACCAAGGATGCATCCAGCTGTGGGGTGAGTTTGAGCAGATTAAGGGGGTTCACGTTCATCACTGGGTGCTGGAGTGGGGAATGGGACCCAAGGGCACGTGGGAGTGTGCGGACGGCCTTCCTTCCGACGCCTTCCAGTTCGCTGCCTCGGGGGGAGTGCTGCCTGAATTCGTCGTGCTGTACTCGGGCACGAAAGATGCCTCCAGCTGTGGGGTGAGTTGGGATGCTAGAGTGGGAAAGGGGAGCGAAGGGGCACCTGGGGTGGTGCCTGAATTCGTCGTGCTGTACTCGAGCACGAAAGATGCCTCCAGCTGTGGGGTGAGTTATAGCGGAGTTGAGTGTGTTGGAGAGGAGTGTGAGAGTACAGCTGTAGGGCTCGCTGCCTCAGCGTGGAGTGCTGCCGGAGTTCCAAGTGCCGCACACGGGCTCGAAAGATGCATCTAGCTATGGGAGTGGGGTGGAGTGGAGTGGAGTGGGGTGGAGTGCGGCTCTAGTTCAGTGTGAGAAGTGGGAGTGCATGGGGGACTTTCCTTCCGACACCTTGGAGTTTGCTGCTTCCGGGGGAGTGCTGTCGGAATGCACAGTGCCGTACACGGGCACCAAAGATGCATCTAGCTGTGGGGTGAGTGGGGTGGAGTGGGGTGAGTGGGGTGGAGTGGGGTGGAGTGGGGTGGAGTGTGGCAGGGTGGAGTAAAGTGGAGTATGAGGGTATTGTTTAGAGTAGCGTATGGCGCGCTGCCTCAGGGGGGGTGCTGCCTGAATACATGAGTGCCTTTCCCTCCTCTCACTCCTTCTCCCCCTTCTCGTCCTTTTGTGCTTCTGATTCCTCCCTCCCCTCAGCCCGGTCCCAGGTGGTGAATGGCAGCATCCTTCCCGCCCGACCTCTGGTTCGAGCAAGCACTAGAGGACCACCTTCATGCCTCTACCGTTCCACCCCCCTCCCTCTGTGCTTTGTGTGTGATTCCGATTCCTCCCTTTCCCCAGCCTGGCGTGAGAAGAAAATTGGCAGAATCCTTCCCGCCTGACCTCTGGTTCGATCAAGCACTAGAGGACCACCTCCATGCCTCGATACAAGACTCTTTGCTACACCAACAACCACATCAGCGACAAAAGCAGCGTTCCTTAACAAAAGAATCACCATCTGGTCTTGGCTTGTCGGCGAAGCACCACCTGTCATCCCGCTTCGCTCCTGCTCCCCCTGCTCTCCCGTCCACCCCTCCTCCTCCTCCTCCTCCTCCTCCTCCTCCTCCTCCTCCTCCTCCTCCTCCTCCTCCTCCTCCTCCTCCTCCTCCTCCTCCTCCTCCTCCTCCTCCTCCTCCTCCTCCTCCTCCGCCTCCCCCTCCGCCTTCACCTGCATCCGTTGCTCCCAATCAACTCCCAGCAAAACTAAGCAGAAGAATCTCCCAGCCTGCATTTGAACCGTCACTGCTCCACCCTCCTACACTACCCCCTCTTCCTCCATCATCCCTCTTCTCCTCCCGCTTTACCTCCCTCCTCTCCTCCTTCTTCCAGATTCCTCGCCCCCGCATCCTCCAATCAGCACCCATATCCTCCTCCTCCCCCTCGTCCTCTTCTCCCCTTCCAACCTCCTCCTCCTCCTCTTTTTCTTCCCACCCCGTTTTCTCCTCCTCTCGCTCACCCTCCATTGGCCTACTCAAGAAGAAGCCTAAGAAAAAGCCCCCCCCTGCCCCAGCTGCCCAGCCTGTGCCGGGGCCGTACAGGGTTGCCATGTTCGAACAGGTGGCGGTGTCTGGTTGGCTGGGCATGGTGATTGCGCTGCAGGCTCAGCCAATCATCGCCAACGTGGAGGCGGACCAAACTTCCTTCATTGAGTACACTGGGGTGAGTTGAGTGTTATGGGAAGGAGGTTCAAGGTAGGGTTGCCCGGACACAAGGAGCAGTGCAGCCAATCATCGCGCTGCAGGCGCAGCCAATCATTGCGAACGTGGAGGCGGACCAGACTTGCTTCATTGAGTACACTGGGGTGAGTTGAGTGTTATGGGAAGGAGGTTCAAGGTAGGGTTGCTCGGACACAAGGAGCAGTGCAGCCAATCATTGCGCTGCAGGCGCAGCCAATCATTGCGAACGTGGAGGCGGACCAGACTTGCTTCATTGAATTCACTGGGGTGAGTTGCAATGCAAGGGAGGGGTTGTCTGGCTGGCTGGGCATGGTGATTGCACTGCAGGCGCAGCCACTCATTGCAAACGTGGAGGCGGACCAAACTTCCTTCATTGAGTATTCTGGGGTGAGTTGGGAAAGCAGAGAGGGTGTGTGCAAACGGGGGGGATTGTTTGTTAACACCTATGCCGACCCTGACTGTTTTATGAACGGGGTGGTGAATCACTCGTGGGGTACAGCATGGCATGGCAAGAGATACACCAGACTGATTGCGCTGCTTGTTCTGTTTCTCTTCCCTCCTTTCCTCCCCACCTCTTCTCTCCAGGGCTACACCTATGCGGACCCTCACTGCTGCATCATAGGGGTGGTGAATCACATAGTGCTGCTCGTGGGGTACAGCATGGTATGGCATGGCAGGAAACACACCAGACTGATTGCGCACCTCTCTTCCCCCTCTTCTCCCCCGTCTTCCTGCTCCTCTCCCCCTTCTTTCTCCTCCTCTACCTCCCTCCCTCCTCCTCCCCTTTCACAGGGCTACACGTATACGGACCCTGACTGCTTTATCAACGGAGAGGTGAACCACATAGTGCTACTCGTGGGCTACAGCATGTCTGGCGCCACTGCTCTCCGACTGCAGACTGAATATGCTACCTGCCCCTCCTCCCCTCCAGGGCTACACTTATGCGGATCCGGATTGTTTTATCAACGGGGTGGTGAACCACATAGTGCTGCTCGTGGGGTACAGCATGGCAGGTGCCACGCCCTACTTCCTTCTGCAAAACACCTGGGGAGCCACCTGGGGCGTGGGCGGCTTCATGCAAATGGCCATCGAGTCAGGTGATTTTCTAGGCGTCGCGAAAGCCTCAACGCTCTTATTCGTTCTGTAAAACACATGGGGGATCCTGCTATGGGAAGGGGTGATTTCATGCACTTGGCCATCGAATCAGGTGGGTTTTCATGCTCTTTAAAGGTTGCCACGCCCTAATTTATCTTGCAACACGTCTCCTGACCTCTACCTCGTAGTGCACTGCCCCAACCCGTGTGTGCCGAAGCGAAGCCGTTATGATTCCCCTTTCCACCCCTTTTCACCCCTCTCCACCACACCACCTATAGGTGATGGGATCTGCGGCATCAACACGTCTCCCGCTCTCTACCCCGTAGTGCGCGGCCCCAACCCGTGTGTGCCGAACCCGTAGTGAACACTTTCTTAACACCTTCCCACATTCTCCTCTCCACCCCTCTCCACCCCTTCAAACAGGTGATGGCATCTGCGGCATCAACACATCACCCGCTCTCTACCCCGTAGTCCGAGGTCCCAACCCCTGTGTGCCGAACCCATGTGGGGGCGGCACGTGCAGTGCGGCGAGGAGCCCAGGTGGATACACATGCAAGTGCAAGACCAACTTCGTTGTGGGGAAGAATATTGACCAATCGCCTGTGTGCATTCCACGTATGTATTGGGGTGGGTGCGGGGGAGGAGGGATGGGTGGGCAGGTGGGTGGGTGTGGGGGAGGAGGGGTGGGTGGGCAGGTGGGTGGGTGTGGGGGAGGAGGGGTGGGTGGGCAGGTGGGTGGGTGTGGGGGAGGAGGGGTGGGTGCGTGGTGGGTTGTTGGGCGGATAGGCAGGTGGGTGCATGGCGGGGAAGGGGGGAAAGGGAGAGGTGGGGGCGGCACGTGCAGTGGGGGGGCGGTTTGGATAGACATGCAAAGTGCAAGACGAATTTCGTTGTGGGGAGAAACATTGGTGGACACGTCTCTCCCTTTGCCTCTCCGCCCCTTCCTCTCCCACACACCAGTGAAGCCCTGTTCGCTGAATGCGGTGAACCCCTGCCAGGTCGGCACGTGTCTAGACGACGCTAGGGGGGCCTACAACTGCATCTGCCCGCCGGGCTTCTTCTTTGATACCCGGCCCGACAACACGCCCTCCTGCATCCTCGGTGGGTGACCAGACCTTCACATGTCCCTTTCAACATTCTGTGTTGGTATTCCGGTCCTGCTGTGCTGCTGCGGGGCTATTGGCATGGCACCTGGTGGTAAGGCAACTGCATCTGCCCGCCAGGCTTCTTCTTTGACTTCAAGCCCAACAGCACAACCTCCTGCATCCTCGGTGGGTTTAGTCCCCTTGACGAGTCCCCTTGACGAGATCCCTTGATGAGACCCCTTGATGAGACCCCTTGATGAGACCCCTTCGTGATGCCCCTTCACGAGCTTGGATGCCAGGTGTGCCCTTCCGTGGGATGCCTGCCCTTCACCACCTGCTGTGCTGGTCTAGTGGCTGTTGTCCTGCTCTGCTGCTGTGGATTTCCTGGTATCTGCTGACACACAACTGCATCTGTTGAGGCGCCTCAAAAGTCCTTAAAAGGCGCCTCAAAAGTTTCCTGGCATCTGCTGACCTGCTCAAAAGTTTCCCACCAGGCTTCTTCTTTGATGCCAAGCCAGACACCTCCTCCCCTCCTCTTCCTCCCATGCTCCCCATGCCTCTCCTATTCCAGGCCCCGCGCCGGGCGAAATCAAGGTTGTTTCGGGGCTCATATGCGACCTTGTGATGTGCACCTATGGCCTCAATCAACCTGCCCTGTTTCCTCCCCCACTCCTCCCCCCCTTCCCCACTCCTCCTGCGTGCCCCACGCCCGGTGAAATCTAAGTGGTTCCGGGGCTCACATGCGACCTCGTGATGTCCACCTATGGCATCAACCTGACGTCTTCCCCCTCCCCCCCCTTTTCCTCCTATTTTCCACCTCCTCATTTCCCCCATTCTCTCCACACCTCTTCCTTTCTCCCCATTCTTCTGCCTTTGCAGGCCCCACGCCCGATGAAATCAAGGTTGTTCCCAGGCTCACATGTGACCGTTTTCATGTCCAAATATGGCATCAGCCTACCCTCTTTCCCTCTCCCCTCCTTCCTCCTCGTTCTTTTGCCTTAGCAGGCCCTACTCCCGATGAAATCGACGTTGTTCCCGGGGTCACATGCGACCTTGTCATGTCCACCTACGGCATCAACCTCACCAGCTTCACCCAGCTCAACCCCGTAAGAACCCTTTCTCCTTCCCATGCTCTTGGTCCGCAAAGCTTGTGTACGGTTTCTGAGTCTACTCACATGCGACCTTGTCATGTCCACCTACGGCATCAACCTCACCAGCTTCACCCAACTCAACCCAGTGAGATTCTTGAGGCGCCTCAAAAATCAAGTTCTGCTGAGTCTATTCTTGAGGCGCCTCAAAAATCAAGTTCTGCCGAGTCTATTCTTGAGGCGCCTCAAAATTCAAAATTCTGCTGAGTCTATTCTTGAGGCGCCTCAAAATTCAAAATTCTGCTGAGTCTATTCTTGAGGCGCCTCAAAATTCAGAATTCTGCTGAGTCTATTCTTGAGGCGCCTCAAAATTCAAAATTCTGCTGAGTCTATTCTCGAGGCGCCTCAAAATTCAAAATTCTGCTTAGTCTATTCTTGAAGCGCCTCAAAATTCAAAATTCTGCTGAGTCTATTCTCGAGGCGCCTAAAAAATAGGCTCACATGCGACCTGGTGATGTCTTCCTATGGCATCAACCTCACCAGCTTCACCCAGCTCAACCTGGTCAGAAATTCATTCTCCTTCCCCTCCTCCCATTACACCCCGCGCCCCCGACCCGACCCCTCCAACCCCCCAAAACCCTGTCCCGCCCCCCCACGCCCTCCCCCTCTCCCTCCCCCACCCTCCGGCCTTGCCCCGCACGCTTCTTCCAAATCCTTTGTACGATTTCCAAGTCGACTCACGTGCGACCTTGTGATTTCCTTTCCACCTATGGCTTCAGCCTTGCCAGCTTCACCCTGTTTCCAGAAATTTCAACCAGAGGCCTAGGATGCCTAAACTCGCTTCCTCCCGCTCCACGCGAAACATGCCTTTCTCCTTTCCCTACTCCCATTCCACCCCACCCCCCCATTCCTCTGCCCTCCCATCCCTTCCCCTTCCCGCCCCTGCCACCGCCCCTGCCCCCGCCCCCGCATGCTTTTTCTGAAACTTTTGTCCGATGTTTGAGTTGTTTAAAAAACCCGCTCGCCCTTTCTTTCCTAGGTTTTTGTGCAAAAGTTGACTTCTGAGTCGACTCAAGACCCCTCCCACCCCCCGCCTCACTCCTACCCCTCTTGTCACCCACCGGGCCACCCCCTCTGTGGACAGACTCTGAACTGCAAGAAGCTCAAACTAGGCGATGAAATCCATATTGGCGACACCAACCCATGTGCCACGCCCTATACGGTCACATCTGTAAGCTTTTCTCTCTCGAATGGTCCTTGTATGGATATGATATATGATGTTACAACTGAAGGCGAGCAAGGTCAAGCTAGACAAGGTGATTCGCTACTATGTTACCTTTTGAGAATTCTCAAAAGTCACAAGGTGACTCGCTACTATGTTACCTACCTGGCTAGCTCCAACTTCCTTCCCTACTGGAATTCCAAACCCGGCTCCAGGGTAGCAAAGCAATTCCCTGGGAACAGGGCCCTGTCCGGACCTCCCACTGGCAGGTTTTCAACCTGGGCGGTGAGGTAACTCACCGGTACCTCACAACCTGCCACGTGAAATGAGTGAGTTTTTGAGACGTCTCAAAAACTCAAACTGGGCAGCTATGATCACTGGGCAGCTATGATCACTGGGCAGCTATGATCACTGGGCAGCTATGATCACTGGGCAGCTATGATCACTGGGCAGCTATGATCACTGGGCAGTGAGGCAGTGAGGTAACCCTCCGCTGCTACCTCACTGCCTGCCCCCCCCTGCAGGGCAGCGCTGGCAGAACTGGTGGCGCAGTGTTTTTCTAATCCGTCCTTGTATTGATCATAACAGGGTTACAACACTTAAGTTAACATGTACTTTCACACATCCGCAGCAGCGACGTTGACATTTGGGGCGACTCAAATGTCGCCCACCGCATTCAACTCCCCTGCCCCTCCCCTTATCCTCCAGTAACCCCTATACAGTAGAACGAGTCTTGTGTGCAATCATTGCAGCAGCGCTCAACATCTCCTCTCCCCCTCCCCAACTCTCCCTCCTTCCCCCACCTACAGCAGAGCGACACGTGTGCATCCATAGCGGCAGCATTCAACATCACCACGGATGAGCGCAACCACAACTATTCCGACTCAAATGCCACCTTGTACCGCATTCCATTCCCCTGCACCTCACGTTACCCTTCGTTGTCCTCCCACCTACAGCAATCCGATACATGTGCATCCATAGCAGCAGCGTTCAACATCACAACAGATGAGCTGAAGGAGCGCAACCACGAGCTAAAATGCAGCAAGGCGCTGCAGATTGGCCAGCAGGTGAGGCATGTTTTGGATAATGGTGATTGGTAAGGCAGGTGGCTTTGGATTCAGGAATGGGATACCACCACCTGCAGGAGCGCAACCACGAGCTCGAATGCAACAAGCCACTGCAGATCGGGCAGCAGGTGAGGCAGATTTTTGGGGGCAGTGGTTGGTAGGCAGGTGATTTTGGTTGGAGTAACAGAGCACCAGCTGAAGGAGCGCAGTCACGAGCTCAAATGCAACAAGCCACTGCAGATTGGCCAGCAGGTGAGCGGCCATGTGCATTCTGCTTTTACTTGTGTTATGAGTCGATTCTTGTCCGCTTTCTGCTCTCCCCTCCCCAGCTCTTCCTTTTCATTTTGAATCCGTCCAGCACATTGCGTGCGCTCTGTTTTGCAATTTGGGACTCTCTGTCATGCCACAGGCGTGTGGGGCGAGGGGCACAGCTGGCGTGCCTGTGAGTTTCGAGACGCCTCAAAACTAAAAATTTGAGATGTCTCAAAACTCAACCTGTACGCGACAGGTGTGTGGGGCGAGGGGCACAGCTAACGTCCCTGTGTGTCAGGTCAGGGTTACATGACTGAAGCAATTCTTGAATCGACTCAAAAGCAATTTCTGAGACGTCTCAAAAGTCACCTGATGTCCCTGTGTGTCAGGTCAGGGCCATATGACTGAAGCAACTTGCAACACTTTCTCTGCCTTCCTTTCCCACCCTGTGGCCATGTGTCAGGCGTGTGTGGTGAGGGGCACAGCCAACCTGCCTGTGTGTCGGGACTCTATGTGACTGTTATGTTTCACTGCACTTATCCAGTCTCCTTTCCCATCCCTGGAACTTGTAACAACAGGTTTGTGTGGTGAGGGGCACAGCTGACCTGCCAGTGTGCCAGGAGTACGTGACTGTAGCGGAGGGAGACACATGTGACACTATAATGAGGTCTGCGCGGCCGCCCCTGACCAGCCAGGAGTTCTATGCGCTGAATCCGGGCATCAATTGCAACGTGGGGGAGCAGATTCTGCTGGGGCAGCAGGTGGGTGTATAGGATGATGTGGCAACAGGTGGGGGTGCATAGCATGATGTGGCAACAGGTGGGTGCATAGCATGATGTGGCAACAGGTGGGTGTATAGCATGATGCGGCAACAGGTGGGTTTATAGCATGATGTGGCAACAGGTGGGTGTATAGCATGATGTGGCAACAGGAGGGTGCACTGAACACTGGGTCAGGTTAGGACAGGTAATGGGACAGGTCAGGGATAGGCATGGGACAGCTTCGGGCCTTGCTTGCGTGCCCCCTCTTCTCCCTTTCCTGTTTGATCCCATCCTTCTGTGCTTGTTCTGCATTTTCTTTCCCCTGTCAGATCTGTACTCGCGGTGGCCAATCAAGTGTTCTGCTGGGTGCCTCAAAATGTGTTACAAAGTTGTATTATACTGTTGTCACCGGTGATACGTGTGCTCGCATCATAGCGCTCTACTTCAAGTCATCATCACGTTTGCTTGCACAATATAACAGTGGATATGTCTGCACAAACAGTCGACTGTACAAAGGGACGTCGCTGTGCAAACCACCTTAGGTTGTAATGGATAGTGTAATTATTTATTGATAATGATAGCATCCATTGTGTGTTTCATAGTTTCTCTGTTTTTGTGTGGACACGACTGTCATCCTGTAACATCCACGGCTGAAATAACTGGCTTTCGTAGTCAACAAAAGGTGACATCGCGAACACTAAGGACGCGTCCCCTCCGGCTCGATCTTGCAAAAACCGATCTTTGACCGCAACAAAAACCCGTGTATTGCATTCAAAACTTCTAGAATTTTTTTGAACCACGTTAAAAATCGAACCTACGTAGGATCGATCGCAGGGCTGGCCTTCAGGTGACGCGTCGTAAATAGATCAACGTCCCAGAAAGTTGTCGGTTCCTTCACCTGAACGTTGATGCTGACCTTTTTCAACTGACTTTCCACGTCAGTAGTCCTTGATTCTGGCAGCCGAACATTGGGCCGTGAATCACGTTGTGCCATGTGGGCCTTCTAGACTTCAGATGGGGCAGAAGACAGACGCGTCACGCGTCATGGCTGGTGGTCCCACCTTTCTCGCAGGGAAAGGCCGACGGACAGGATATTTCGACTGTCTTTGTCAGGTTGGGAATTCGAAGCTAGCTCAAAATTGGCCAGTCTTGGGAGCTCTGGTGCCTCTTCGTGTCCCTAGGGAACTCCGCCTTGCTGCTGCAGCATTCGATTCAACGCACAGCATTTTCTCGGGATTTCGTTGCTGGATTCCTGCTTACTTCTCTCTTGTGAAGGCACAGCATTTGCTCTTCTTTCGGGACTTGTAATATAAAGCCGTGACTTGTTGCTGCTGTCGTTTCGTTTCTCCCGTGCGAGCATCGTTCGGACTTTTGAAACGTCTAAAAACTCGTTGCTGCTGTCGTTTCGTTTCTCCCGTGCGAGCATCGTTCGGACGGACGCAGTGCTTGCTCCTGCATAAGTCTACCTTCCTTCTCCGCTAGATAACATTAAAATGGCTGGTGAGATACATTCTCCATTTTCCTTTCTTTCAGCGAATCGCGACCACGAGCACGAGCTCGAGCGCAAGCACGAGAATTGTGGTCGGTGAACTTACAGCGTCGTGTGCTTCCGACTTTTGAGGCGCCTCAAAAATTGTGGTCGGTGAACTTATAGCGTCGTGTGCTTCCGCGTCCGTCTCTGTGAATTTCCCCGTGTGCTACAGCGATGCTGACTTCCAGCCTCTGCAGCAGCAATCCAGCTGCGAGGCTTTTCCCCAGCTTGAAGCCCGCGTTGTCCGCAAATGCCGTACAAGCACTCACCTATCGTTACAGTCACACACCGCTCCAGCTGTCAAGCTGCTCCAATCGCAGCCGGCGGCTGGTTGTCGTGGAAGCATCAACTACCAATCCGTCCCAGATTTCGTTTGGTCAGTCCGTCACCCAAAAACCTTATCCACTCTCACTCACTCTTCTCGCTCTTTTCTTTCTGCTCTTTCTCGGTTTCTTTTCTTCTTGGTGTGGTTGGTTCTGCGTGCGAAACCTATCGCATGGTTCTGAATCCACACTGCCGTATGGTTTGCATGCGTGTGTCTGATGCTCTGGCCTTGTCGCAGCAACAGCGGTGGAGAGCCAACCTACCCTCTTCCAGGCAATCGACTTCAAGAAGCTTCAAAACGGAAGGTGCGAGCGTTGCTTCAGAACAAAACATAAAGTGGAAGAGAGAGGGAAGAATTCACATATTAGCCTTTCAACCTCAGTGTAGCGAGCTTTTGGCAAAGTTCTCCGCGGTAGAGCGCACGCTGAAACGTTTTAAGCCAGGCAGGAATTAGGGCTCCAAACTTCACCTATCCTGACCCTCTGCCATGTGAATGCAGTGACATAAGGGGAGTGGCTATTCCGGGGGTGGAGGGCGAACCTGTGACACTAACGGAGCCAGCAGCGGAGGCGATAGGCGCGGCCTTTGCTCGGTTCCTGAAGGGGAAGAAGGAGCAGGCGGGCGAGAGGGCTGATGGGCAGCTGAGCGTGTCCATCGGGCATGACTCGAGAGTGTCGGCTGATGTGATCACGGTGGGTGCGTAGTGCAGTTGCCAGTGTGAGTAGGTTTTGACAGCAGAGGCCATCGGTCCAGCATTCGCCCGGTTTTTGCTGGGGAGAAGAAGCAGGCGGGGGAGAGGTCTGGTGGGCAGCTGAGCTGTGTGTCCATCGAGCATGACTCGATCGGGCTGGTGGAGGTGGTTGGGTTCGCTTCGGTTCGGTTAAATTCTCAGGGTTTCAAATCCGCCGTTACTCTCTCTGCCCTCCTCTCTCCCGCCTGCAGGCAGCAGTGGCGCGTGGGCTGGCAGGCGAGGGCGTGAAGGTGGTTCGGTTCGGCCTGGCGTCCACGCCAGCCATGTTCAGCAGCACAGTCACAGAGGATGCGAGCCTGCACTGCCCCAACGACGGTGGCATCATGATCACAGGTGCGCCTTTTGAGTCCACTGATAAAGTGGTTCAGTGCGGTTGAACATGGTGGAATGGAGGTGATAAAAAGAGGTGCTGTTTCGTGGTTCGGTTCGGCCTGGCGTCCACGCCAGCCATGTTCAGCAGCATAGTCACAGAGGATGCGAGCCTGCACTGCCCCAACGACGGTGGCATCATGATCACAGGTATGTGCTTCTTGGAGGGATAAACATAATGCACCTCAAAATGCACCTCAGTACACACGTCAGCCATGTTCAGCAGCACGGTCACCGAAGACCCGCTTCCACGTTTCCTTCCCTGCACTGCGTGTCTTCATCTCCGCCTTTCTCCACTCACAGCCTGTCACCTGCCTTTCAACCGCAACGGCCTTGAATCCCTCACAGCAAAAGGCGACTCCAACAAGGCGGATTTCGCCGCTATCCCTACCTCACATTCCCCTTTCTCTCTGCTCTCCCCCCTTCTACCCCACTCCACTTTCCTCTTCCTTTCCTTGGACGATCACCCAACAGCCAGCCACCACCCCTTGAACCGCAATGGTCTCAGATTCTTCACAGCAAAGGGCGGTGCCAAGGTGGATAGTTATCTCTGCTATCCCTACCTCACATTCCCCTCTCTCTCTGCTCTCTCCCCGTCTATCAATCTGGCCACCCACCCTACAGCCAGCCATCTCCCCTTCAACCGTAACGGCCTCAAGTTCTTCACAGCAAAGGGCGGCGCAAACAAGGCAGATATGCCTGCTAACCCTGTTTTCTCTTTCTCTTCCCCTTTCCCTAATTTCAACTTTCAGCCAGCCACCTCCCCTTCAACCGTAACGGCCTCAAGTTCTTCACAGCAAAGGGCGGCGCAAACAAGGCGGATATCGCGGCCATCCTGGCGTCTGCCGCCCAGATCTACGAGTCCATGTCAGCAGAATCCGTGCAGGCCAATCAGGAGAAGGCGGAGAAGCAGACGGTGCATGTGGATTATATGAAGAGATACGCTGCAGATTTGGTTGACGCTGTGAGGAAGGCGGCTAAGGCTGGAGGTACGATTCGCCTCCCTTGATAGGTCATACGGTTAACCTCTCATCTTGAGTTTGGGCAGGGTTGGAGTGCACGTGGGTTGTTTATGTGAAGCGGTATGGCTGGCGCGGTTTGGAAGGCATCTGGGGTCCAAGGCAGGCAAGGCTGTGTGCATCGGTGCTGGTGTGTTTGTCATTGTGGCTCTCCTGTCTCTCTGTGTGTGTATGTGTGTGTATGTTATGTGTATGTGTGTGTGTGTGTGTGTGTGTGTGTGTGTGTGTCTGGTGTGTGTGTGACATGTGTTACAGATCGTCCATTGGAGGGTTACCACATCGTGGTTGATGCTGGTAACGGCGCAGGGGGCTTTTTTGCTGTGAGTCTGTAGTTTGAAGTTGTGACTCTGACAGATCATGCGCTGTTTATTTTCCACAACATCGCCCAACGTGGAAGGATTGTGTTTCTGCTGTGGCTCTTTCTTTCTGACTCAACCCCTCAAGTGGCTCATGCCCCATCCATGTGCGTTCCGTGCCCCATCCATGTGCGTGCCGTGCCCCATCCATGTGTGTGCCGTGCCTCATCCATGTGTAAATTTTTCAGGCCGGGGTGCTGGAGCCTCTAGGAGCCAACACTTCTGGCAGTCAATTCCTTGAGCCTGATGGTATGGCACATGTGTGGAGTGCGGCATGATAGTGTGTGATGGTATGTGACGGTATGTTAGCATCACATGTGGCATGTTCCGATGGTCGGATTGCTCACATGATGGCATGATGGCGTGGCAGCAGATGGAATAGGACAGCTTTATTGGACTCATGCTCATGCATGCATGTGTGCATGCACACGACCGCCTTACTCCACACCCTCCCCGAACCACGCCCGTCCGTCAGGCCTGTTTCCGAACCACATTCCGAACCCAGAGGACAAGGCAGCCATGGAGGCGATCACAGGCGCGGTGCTGAGGGAGAAGGCGGACCTTGGGATCATCTTTGACACTGACGTGGACAGAGCTGCAGCCGTTGATTCGTCCGGCAAGGAGATCAACCGCAACCGTCTGATTGCTCTCATCGCGGCGATCGTGCTCGAGGAGGTGAGATGGGGTGAGGGGGTGAGAAGGGGTGAGAGGAGGTGGAATGGGGTGAGAGGAGGCGAGATGGGGTGAGGGGGTGAGAAGGGGTGAGAGGAGGTGTGGGGGGCTGGAGAGGAGGTGTGGGGGGCTGGAGAGGAGGTGTGGGGGGCTGGAGAGGAGGTGTGGGGGGCTGGAGAGGAGGTGTGGGGGGCTGGAGAGGAGGTGCGGGGGGCTGGAGAGGAGGTGTGGGGGGCTGGAGAGGAGGTGTGGGGGGCTGGAGAGGAGGTGTGGGGGGCTGGAGAGGAGGTGTGGGGGGCTGGAGAGGAGGTGTGGGGGGCTGGAGAGGAGGTGTGGGGGGCTGGTGAGGAGGTGTGGGGGGCTGGTGAGGAGGTGTGGGGGGCTGGTGAGGAGGTGTGGGGGGCTGGTGAGGAGGTGTGGGGGGCTGGTGAGGAGGTGTGGGGGGCTGGTGAGGAGGTGTGGGGGGCTGGTGAGGAGGGAAGACTGGCACACAGGGGTCACACAGGGATCAAAATTGTCCTCTCGATCCTACCACCCCTCCCTCTCCAACGTCCCTCCGTACCCCTCCCCAGCACCCAGGCACCACTAAAGTCACGGACAGTGTTCAATCTGAAGGGCTACCTTGCATCCACTCGTTCTTACCCCATCTCACGCCCTCCCACCCACTCCCACCCCTTTCTACTTCTTCCCACCGTTCCCCAGCACCCAGGCACCACTATAGTCACAGACAGTGTGACATCGGATGGACTGACCACATTCATTGAATCTAAGCTCGGTCAGTAGCCACACTGCAACGCATGCATGCACACGCACATACATGTACAGCCATGCATGCAGTGCAGGCACATGCGTCCATATGCATGCATCTGTTACTTTCTGCATCTCTTCACCTTGCACGTTCGCTCATCACTCCTGCATGTCCCTCCGCCGATCGTTCTCGTATGCCCCTCTGTCCGGCATGTCTTCCCATATGTATCCCATTGACATGGCATGGCATGGCATGTCATGGCATCAGGGGGCAAGCATCTGAGGTTCAAGCGGGGCTATAAGAACGTGATTGATGAGGGCATCAGACTGGTGAGACTCTCATGCCATCATGCCATGCCGTGCCAGTCCATTCAATGTCATGCCGTTTCTGTACTACCATGCGAGGCCATGCTTCTTTATTGCCATGTGCTATACTCTCTCCCTTCTTCCTTTCGCTGTCCTGGCAGAACTCGGTGGGAGAGGAGTGCCATCTTGCCATGGAGACCAGCGGCCATGGGGCTCTCAAGGAGAACAGATGGCTTGATGATGGCGCCTACCTCATGGTATGTGTGCTTGGTTGGTGGTGCAAGTCATATTACGTTGGCGTTCCATGCTGCTGCTCATGGTGTTTTCGAGGAGAACCGATGGCTTGATGATGGTGCCTACTGCATGTTGTTATGACGGCGTGCATACATGAATGATGACCCTTGCAAACTACCCCTTGCTCTTGTATGGCGGGTGAGGTGATGCATCCCAGCTATTGTACTCATTTCCCTTTACCTCTTTCCCATTCTCCCTTGAACTCTCCATCTTCCCTTCCCAACTGGCAGGTGAAGCTGCTGGTGAAACTGGCATCAGCAGCAGGCAAGGGGGAGGCAAAGGGCAGTGCGGTGTTGACGCGCATGATAGAGGACCTGCAGGAGGCTGACGAGGCTACGGAGGTTCGGCTGCGAATCAACCAGGACCACGCTGACGTGACACCCATGTGAGTCAAAGAAAGAGCGCCATCATGTTTTGAAGATGTCGCAAAGCTATAAAACAACTGAAAACCCTATATTTCACAGTGGGGTTCCTGTCTCATCTCCCTGCATTCTGTCTCGCTCGCTCTCTTCCAGAGGGTTCCGCGCATACGGGGAGAAGGTTCTAGAGGCGCTCACAGCCACGGTGGAGAGCGATGCTGCACTCTCCAAGGCCCCTGTCAACTACGAAGGGGTGAGAGCACTGTGCTGTTGGGAGTGAGAGAATGAAGGGTGCTGCCTGGTGTGAATGCCTGCCTTCTTACATGGCACATTAAGTAGCAACTCGTAGGCCCTCGCAGCAACAGTAGAGAGTGATGCTGCTCTCTCCAAGCTGCCTGTCAAGTCAAACTACGACGGGGTGAGAGCCTTACACAATTTTTTCTCGCTTCTTCTCCAATCGTTCTAGGTTGTCTCAGACATCTTTGAAGTTTTATTGGTTGGCATTTATCTCAGGCTTGACTTCTTTCCTCCATGCATTTCATGGGGTGTTCATCAGAGGAATATAAAGAGTAAAAGCAGCATCCTGTCCCACAGATTCCTCTGTTGCATTGCTGTTCTCGCACACTGCTCTTGGTCGGCGTCTCTTGTCTCAGGTGCGGGTGTCCGGGTTCGGTGGATGGTTCCTGCTGCGCTTGTCTCTCCACGACCCTGTCTTGCCACTCAACATTGAGGTATGCGTAACAAAACCCTCTTTTAGAGAATCTTGCCCCTCAACATTGAGGTATGCGTAAGAAAACCCTCTTTTCGAGAATCTTGCCCCTCAACATTGAGGTATGCGAAACAAAACCCTCTTTTAGAGAATCTTGCCCCTCAACATTGAGGTATGCGTAACAAAACCCTCCTTTAGAGAATCTTGCCCCTCAACATTGAGGTATGCGTAACAAAACCCTCTTTTAGAGAATCTTGCCCCTCAACATTGAGGTATGCGTATCAAAACCCTCTTTTAGAGAATCTTGCCACTCAACATTGAGGTATGCGTAACAAAACCCTCTTTTAGAGAATCTTGCCCCTCAACATTGAGGTGTGCGTAACAAAACTCTCTTTTAGAGAATCTTGCCCCTCAATATTGAGGTATGCATTGCAGTAACACTCCAGCGAATGTTCTTACATTACCTCAAGACATTTGTTACGACTAAGCTATCTGTGAAGGAGGGTTATCCAACTTCTCCATTCGAAAATTGCTAATAGATCCAGCACTTGACCTGAAGGACCGAAGTGCCCAGTTGCATTGCATCTCACCTAGTGCCTCTATCATCATACTGTGTGTACATCCTTCTTATCCTAACCTCCCAGGGCCCTTCCAAGGCGGCCACCAGGAGGCTGGCAGAAGCTGTTGTGTCTGTGACATCGCAGTTTCCTGCTCTGGACACGTCTGCTCTTCGCAAGTACATTGACACTTGCAACCACAATTGAATGCAAGCCATGTGGGAAAACAGGGTTATTTGATAGGATAGGGATTTTGGCACATGCTGCGGCTGCAGCATTTGCAGGGGCAAGTGAGAGTTTGTTGGCAATCATGTTGGGATTTGTCCTTGAATCAGCATACCTTTTAAAGTTCATCTATGTAGGGTTCCTTCCCATGCCCTGAATATTGGCTCCATAAGCTAAAGGAAAAGTAACTACCACCCACAGCTGGGGCACAATTATTTCCCGGAATTTATGTCACACCGAATAACCTGCACGTTATTGCGGATGTTGTATTCGTGGCTGGCAGACATCCCGAAGTTCGCTCGGACATCTCCTGAAGTTCGCTCGGGCCCGCGGATGTGCTTACGTGGCTCCTGCAGGGAAGCCACAGTAATCTGGAAACCAGCCTCCCTGACAACGAAAAGAATCATCACACGAGACGAAAAATCGTTAGTGGGCTACAACGAATCAGAAGGCCGATTCAAAAGACCAAAGTGGTCGTGAATTATCGCAAGTCGCACACCCTCATAATTGTTTGATCACATAATCAGATCATCCACCACCACTACCCGCCTACCCATGCTCTAAAATAGTAGGCCACAGGTGGCACAGTGAACTGGTAATTCATGAATTAGTCCATATTTGATGCTAGGAAGAAACTCGTAATCTAGCTTGCGTTTGCGAAAGCTGGTTGATTCGGCGAAGGAAGCAGAATTTGTCAGATTCGCATACCAGCGACCGTTTTCCTAGTGACTGGTCAGGAGCCATGCATTCGTGCTTATTGTCACTATTTGATAATCCAAGTCCTGTAGAGGGTTTTGAGATTCCATCTGCCTGTCATTGATATTATCCTCCAATTGACGCTTCTCAGTCGCTGACCAGCCCGCCGCTGCTGCTGATCTGGCCAAATGACGTCATCATTCAAGGTTGTGACACCGCACGTCCACGATTCCTCGCTTCATCGACCCATATGCGCTAGTCGCGTATGCGATACTCTGCAATCCACCTGCTCGTTACCCGCAACATTTTGCACTCGAAACAGCATCGCCGAAATCGGGAGCAGAACAGTCGTCCACTGTAACATACAATGCAGTGCACATTGCAGCGCATCAGCTTCTAACGGATCGTCGCATCTACGAATAACCTCCGCTGAAGCTGAGTCCCCTCGTTATTGTCCGACACCTTATTCGTTTCCAGCAGCAGTCCCGCGACCCTCATCATGTTTACCACCACGCGAAAGGCGGAACCGTGACCTGTCAACTCGAGCTACGTCTGGATTCAAATGGTGGGGAAGAAGCAGCCAAGGAAGCAGCGGAGCGAGGGATCGTAACGGATACGAAACGGACGACGGCGGAGGGAGCGGAACTGGGGGCAGATGGCGGGGCTCAGGCGGAGCGGGAGGCGGAGGAGGCGGCGGAGGAAGCAGGGGAGGAGGCGGCGGAGGAAGAGGGGGAGGAGGGGGAGGGGGCGGAGGGGAAGGGGGAGGTGGGAGCGGAATGGGAAGCGGACTGGGGGGCGGGAGCGGAAACGAGGGTTCAGGGTTTGGAGGGTTTGGAAGCTTCCCACCATCTTCCTTACCTCGCCTCAGCCCGCTGAACATCCTTCTCGAAATCCAGCGGCGCGTGAACAGTTACTTTGCCGCCCGGCCGCTGCGCAGAGCCATGTTTGGCGGCATCGCATTGTTTGGCGGTTTCTACGTCGCCCAAACCATCTCTCTCTCCTTCGGCGCTCTGAGCGTGAATGACGTGGCAGCTGCTGCGATATGTCTGGTTTTCACCGAAGTGGTAACCAGATCGTACTACTCTACGTTACGCCCGTCGTTCCCACTCGCTCTGCTGAACGTGTTCAAGATGGGATTCACTTACGGTCTCTTCATAGACGCTTTCAAGCTAGCCAGCTGAGCGTTGCTGCTGCTGGAGATCGAGTCAGCTTTGGATTTGAGTCAGCTGTGAAAGCTCGTTCCCGCTCGCTCTGCTGAACGTGTTCAAGATGAGATTCACTTACGGTCTCTTCATAAACGCATTCAAACTAGCCAGCTGAGAGCGTTTCTGCTGCTGGAGGTGGCGTGAGCTTTGGGATCGGGCCAGCTGTCAAAGCTACTCATATCATATCCGCTTGCTCTGCTGAACGTGTTCAAGATGGGATTCACCTACGGTCTCTTCATTGATGCCTTCAAACTAGCCAGCTGAGGGGTGCTACTGGTGTTGGAGGGTTTCAGCTCGCCAAATTTGGGCTTGAGTTTACCTGTCTCCTCACTCACTAACGCTATAGGAGGGTAGATGCGATGCGCTGTGGGAGATGGATGCTTGAGTGTGGCTGCAGGAAACACAGGGAGTGGTGGCTTGCCTGTGCTACTAGTGGCCCCGTCCCTTCAGCCATATGAGTAGAAATCTGTCTACAGTGCATGCTCAGATATGGGAACCTCTATTTTAATTTATCCTCCTGGTGGTTCACATGCAGCTCCCAGAGGCATCAGGAACACGCACAACATCAAGCATGCTTTGATGAACAAAAGTAACGAGATGATTTGATGTGGCACATCAAACAATAAAGTAAATGCATCTGTTGCCGCTGTTATGCCATGTACCATAATGGCAGCATCTGCAATACCCTACCAGACATACCTACAGACCATAGTAGAGTGGCCTTGCCTCACAGCCTCAAGCTGAAGTATGCTCAACCTAAGTTCAACCCCCACACAAGCACCCAGTTCCATGCCCCTACGTCCCATTCATCAGTTGTGGACACGCCGAAAACTCGCCCTCGTGTCTATTCCCTCGCCGCCACTCTCGCAACTCTAGCGCCCAGCCCCATACCTCCCAGCCCCACAGGCCCGGCCGAAGCTCTCTGCCCGCGCCCCGCATGCCCCGCCATGCCAGTGGTCACCCCAGCACCACCGGGAGCAGCACCTCCAAAAATAGAAGAGCTCTCAGCTGAGATAAAGACAGGGGATTTGGAGGGTGCCACTCCTGCAGCAGCAGCGGCAGCCGCAGCAGCAGCAGCAGCAGCAGATGTACCAGAGGCAGCAGCAGATGTACCAGAGGCAGCAGCAGTGGCAGCGGCAGAAGATAATCCAGGTAACCCTAACCCTAACCCTAACCCTAACCCTAGAGGCCTGCTGCTGTCGTTGCTGGTGCTGCCGAGCAGATGAGCTAACTCGCTCTCCCTGCTCCCACTGCTGCTGCCGCTGCCTGTGTTGATGGGGATGGCCGTGTGCTGATTTGCCCGCCCCTGTGCTGCTACCACACTCAACAGCGACGAGAGCGAGGAACCTGAGTTGGTCTGAGAGTGAGAGTGAGGGTGAGAGTGTGAGTGTGAGTGTGAGTGGGAATGTGGGCGATCACCACCACCACCACCCAATCCTCCTCCTCCCTCACACTCCTTCCCCGCCCCACCCCCTCCTCCCCCCGCTGGCCCATGGTTATGTGCACAGCACCTGCCCCCTCTCTCCCCGTGCCGCCCAACCCCAAAAATCCGCCGGAAAAACGCGCCTGACGGGCCGGGCGGCGGAGGAGGCTTCCAGGAACCTTCGGTGTCGGTGGTTTCCCCAGTGGTCCAGAAATCAGCGCAGTTTTGGTAGCAGCCGCGGTTGAAAGGGTTGAAGTATTTGCCGTCAGGGCCCCTCAGGTAGGCGTAGCGATGGGCATTGGCCATTTCATTTGTTGTTATGTTCTGAGCCACCTGTTAGAATGGGCAAACAGGAAAAGGTTGGAGTTGAATGGGTTGAAGTATTTGCCGTCAGAGCCCCTCAGGTAGGCATGGCGATGGGCGTTGGCCATTTCGTTTGTTGTTATGTTCTGAGCCACCTGTTAATGAAGGCAGAGGGGTAGTAGGGACCATAGAGAGCATGACATGAGGGCCAAGGGAAGCAGCAATTTTGGTAGCAGCTGCGGTTGAATGGGTTGAAGTATTTGCATCAGGGCCCCTCAGGTACGCATAGCGATGTGCGTTGGCCATTTCATTGGTCGTCGTTATGTTCTGAGCCACCTGTTGGTGAAGGGGGATGGGGGAAGGAGGGGGGAGTGGCAGCGGGGTTGAGACCACTTAGGTAGGTGCAGCGATGAGCGTTGGCCATTTCGCTGGTTGTTATGTTCTGAGCGACCTGTTGAAGGGTTTAGGGTTTAGGGAACGGGCGAGGTGAAAGAAGAGGTTGGGCGGAGAAATTGGAGGGAAGGGGAAACGGCTAAGGGGCTAACGAACTTGTTTTCTGAGCCTCTCAAGCGACCGTGTTGGCCGTGTCCTAACCATCTGCTGTACTTACAACCCCGTCCTACAGCACATATAGAAGCATGAAGCCATCCGCGATTGTGAACACCCTGTGTAATGCATTTCAGTGTGGTGTGGTGTCGTGTGGTGTGGTGTTATTCGACATACTCTGTGCGTTTTAGTGAGCTCATACTGACCTGAGAGCCTTGTGACACGACAAGACCCAGCACGGACAGCAGCATGAAGCCATCCGCGATTATGAACACCAGCGCTCCTGTGTGGTTCATTGCCACGTACCCCAGCCACCCCGCTCCTGCTGCTGGTGCTCCCTCCAGGTTCATCAGGCCTGGTGAGGACGGTGGGAGAGGGAGAAGGGGGAGAAACATAGCAATGGGGAGAAGGGGGAATATGGGGAGTAGAAGTGAGCGAACAGCAAGTCTGCTCCTGTGTGGTGCATTGCCACGTAGCCCGGCCACCCAGCTCCTGCTGCTGGCGCCCCCTCCAGGTTCATCAGACCTGTGTTGGCAAGACGCTGAAGGGAGGAGAAAGAAGGAAACGCAGGAGATTGGGAGATGGGGGATACGGGGGATATGGGGGATATGGGAGATACGGGGGATATGGGGGATATGGGGGATATGGGGGATATGGGAGATATGGTGCATGCGAGCACATGTGCGCATCTACACACTTAAAGTGCCTTCAAACGATGTGTGCATGCATGCATGCACACATGCGCATTTGCGGATGTGGAGCGCAGTACAAGGAAGGCAGGGTAGGGAAAGAGCCAAGAAAAAGGCACAGAACGCGGCAAGTGTTAGGGAGAGAGGAGTGGGAGAAACTGGGATGGGAGAATGGGAGAACTGGTGGAGAGGGTGAGAGGTAGTGTGAGCTGGTGGAGAGTGGTAGTCATGGCAGCGTGAGGGTATGCGAACGAGAGGGCGAGAGGGAGGACTTCGGTGCGTGTGACTCACGGCCAAAGGCGAGGGAGAGGGCGATGACCATGGCTGCCATTTCAAGCATGAGCATCATGAGAAAATGCCACTTGTTGCGCTGTTGTGTATTACAGACGGAACATGAGATTAGAGATAACAGGTGGGGGGTGGGGGGGGGGGGGGGGGAGGGAAGACGCAGGGATGAGTTGGGATGAGGAACGCTGTTGCGCTGCCACGCAGTAAAGCTCATGGGAAGAAAGGCAACGGGGACGGGAAGGGAACGAGGGGGCAGAAGGAATGGAAGAGAAGGCTCAAGCACGAGCATCTTGAAACGTGTGATAGGCAGCCAGTAGTTAACATTTTTGAGGCGCCTTTTGAGGCGACTTTTGAGGCGACTTTTGAGGCGCCTCACTATGATGCGAAAGACGCGTCCTGCGTCCTGGACGCATGCGTCCAGACGCATGCGTCCGGACGCAGGACGCTTCACCAGGACCAGAAAGACGCACCAAAAGACGCAGTCCCGGGCAGGCAAAAAAAAACCCCGGGCAGGCAAAAAAAATTGTTATAGGGCATGGGATGAGGGGGGGGGGGAACGTTCCACACTTTCAAGGCAAACTTGGCCCCAACATGGGGTCAAAATGTCGAAATTTTGACCCCTTGGGGCTGTTTCCACATTTTGACCCCACATTTTGACATTTTGGAACACTAGGCTGTTTCCCAGGAAGGCAATGTGGGGTCAAAATTCCGCGATTTCGACACTCGCGTCGAAATCGCGAGATTGAAATTCATAATCGGGAAAAAAAAAAATTTCGGGGCAGCCCGAAAAATTTTCGGGCTGCGTCCTGCGTCTGGACGCGCGTCTTGCGTCCTAGCGTCCAGACGCTGCGTCCAGACGCAGGACGCAGCGTCCTCCGAGCGTCTTTAGCATCATAGGCGCCTCAAAAGTCGTGTGATAGGCAGCCAGAAGTTAACATGCATGCCATGCCCTCAATGCCCCATGTGTGATATGCCCTCAATGCCCCATGTGTGATATGCCCTCAATGCCCCATGTGTGATATGCCCTCAATGCCCCATGTGTGATATGCCCTCAATGCCCCATGTGTGATATGCCCTCAATGCCCCATGTGTGATATGCCCTCAATGCCCCATGTGTGATATGCCCTCAATGCCCCATGTGTGATATGCCCTCAATGCCCCATGTGTGATATGCCCTCAATGCCCCATGTGTGATATGCCCTCAATGCCCCATGTGTGATATGCCCTCAATGCCCCATGTGTGATATGCCCTCAATGCCCCATGTGTGATATGCCCTCAATGCCCCATGTGTGATATGCCCTCAATGCCCCATGTGTGATATGCCCTCAATGCCCCATGTGTGATATGCCCTCAATGCCCCATGTGTGATATGCCCTCAATGCCCCATGTGTGATATGCCCTCAATGCCCCATGTGTGATATGCCCTCAATGCCCCATGTGTGATATGCCCTCAATGCCCCATGTGTGATATGCCCTCAATGCCCCATGTGTGATATGCCCTCAATGCCCCATGTGTGATATGCCCTCAATGCCCCATGTGTGATATGCCCTCAATGCCCCATGTGTGATATGCCCTCTATGCCCCATGTGTGATATGCCCTCAATGCCCCATGTGTGATATGCCCTCAATGCCCCATGTGTGATATGCCCTCAATGCCCCATGTGTGATATGCCCTCAATGCCCCATGTGTGATATGCCCTCAATGCCCCATGTGTGATATGCCCTCAATGCCCCATGTGTGATATGCCCTCAATGCCCCATGTGTGATATGCCCTCAATGCCCCATGTGTGATATGCCCTCAATGCCCCATGTGTGATATGCCCTCAATGCCCCATGTGTGATATGCCCTCAATGCCCCATGTGTGATATGCCCTCAATGCCCCATGTGTGATATGCCCTCTATGCCCCATGTGTGATATGCCCTCAATGCCCCATGTGTGATATGCCCTCAATGCCCCATGTGTGATATGCCCTCTATGCCCCATGATTTCTCACCTTGCCCACGCAGTTGGAGATCCAGGGGCAGTGGTGGTCGAACTGAGTCACACACTTATTGCAGATGGAACAATGCTTCGACCTCCTAGGCCGTACGATCTGGTGGCAGAAATAAAGAATTGGAGAGAGCAAGGAGAGGCGAGAGGGGAGCGAGAGGGGAATTTAAGCCTTCAGACACTTGTTGCAGATGGAGCAGTGCTTAACCCTCCTAGGCTGTACGATCTGGTGGTGGGAAGCAAAGGAGAGGAGGGAGATGGGCGTGTGTGTGGCAGAAACGGGTTGAACTTCATGGGGGATAATGGATATACAAGAAATGCGCAGTGGCGAGTGTTTTGAGACGTCTCAAAACACTTCTTCAAACGAGTGTGTGTGGCAGAAACGGGTTGAACTTTATGGGGGATAATGGATATACAAGAAATGCGCAGTGGCGAGGCGGCATGGGGACAGGAGCTGAACCTTATGGAAAAAGGGGTGCAATTTCAACAGAGCACATGGAAAAGAAGCAAGCAAAGAATATAGCGACCATATAGAAACAGCTGATGCACAAGGAGCGACGAGTGTACCCAGCGCGTAAGGTACAACACGGACCCGGCAGGTGACACACAGCTGCGACCATTGACCCGACTGCAGCACCGGATCCATGTAATCTGCTCTTAGAGGCACCATCTCCTGAAACATCAAAAGACGAGGGGGTGGGGCGGGTGTGGGGGAGAAGGCAGCGGGGGATTGGGAGGTAAGGGGGAAGGGAGGGAGGGCGGTGGTGCAGGCATTGGTGACAAACGGTATGGAATGGGACAAAGGGAAGCAAGAGGAAGCGTCTCGCGCGTGGGATGCGAGGGGGTGCATGAGATGGGATGGGGAGCATGGAAAGAAGGGCTGTGATGATGGAGACAAGGAAGCAGCAAGACAAGGGGGCGTGGAAGGGGAGGATGTGGGATGTGCGTCACTCTAGACCATTGCTTGCTCTTTTGGGGCGCCTCAAAAGTCGCCTCGAAAGCCTTCTCAAAGGCGCCCCAAAAAGAGCAAGCAATGGTCTAGAGTGACACACATCCCACATCCTCCTTTCCCTCTCCGTTCCCCCTATTCCCCACTCCCCCACTGTCTCCACCTCCCCACTCTCCAACATACCCTCTCATGTCCACACAAGCCCCCCTTTCCCATCAAGACCCAGAGACTCTGACTCATACCTCCTCCTGTTGCTTCTTAAGGCTCTGCAGCCGTGGCGACTGCACGTAGCCTGGATCTTGCCTGAGCCACAGATGCAGAAGGGTAGGAAGGGGTAAGGGGTGGTAAGTGGGGGTAGGACGGGGTAGGTAGTGGTAAGAGGGTGTTATTGGAGTCTTAAGGACCGAAGGTGCAGAGCAGCTACAGAGGCAGGAGGTATGGGAGGGTTCAGAACGTAAAAAGGAGGGGGAGGATGGGAGCACGAATGGAGGGGGAGAGCACAACGGAGGGACGGGACGAGGGTGGAAGGGTGTAGGAGGGAATGGGTAGAGGGCGAATACACGTAACGAGGAGCAGGCCACACAGCAACAAGTGCAAAGAGCAGGGCTGGGAGTTGCGTAGGTGGAGAGGGCAGGGCTGGGGGTACTTACGTGGAGGAGCGGTAAAGGAAATACATGCCGGTGCCAGCACAGATGAAGACGGCCCACGCCCATGCTGCCATGGTCGCTGTTATCACTGGGAGCGTGGTGGCTGGTAGGAGGGGGAGGGCAGATGAGACGAGGGAGAGGGGAGGGAGAGGTGAGGGAGACGGGAGGGAGAGATGAGGGAGAGGGGAGGGAGAGGGGAGGGGACACAGTGGTTCAGTCCATGCTTGCACAAAGGAAGACGGCCCACTCCCATGCTGCCATGGTGGCTGTTAGCACTGGGAGCGTGGTGGCTGTTAGCACTGGGAGCGTGGTGGCTGTTAGCACTGGGAGCGTGGTGGCTGGTTGGGGGGCGAGGAAGCAGGGAGGACGAGAAGAGAGAGGGAGGGGGCGGGACACGAGAGGAGTGGACGACATGGGAGAGAGCAGTGGACGAGAAGAGGGAGTGTCACCATGAGCCCGTATCACACCTTTCACACAACAGGAAAGGACCACACAGGCATGGGGTAGGCACGCATGAGTCAGCACTCACAGAAGACAACTGCATTGGTGAAGCCGATAAGTAATCCAATAATGACCGCCCAGAGCGCGGGTGCAAGACCGTATCTCGCCATCTTGCCTGCCAATCCCTTGGTGTCGTGCCGGGCGTCAAACACCTTGCGCGCATTGGACTGTGGGGAAGGAGACGATTGAGAGACATGGAGGGACAGAGTATTGGAGTGTGTGGCATTACTGCTTTTGAGTCGACTCAAAAGCAGTATTGGAGTGTGTGGCATTACGAGTATTTTCCTTAGCATCTCGCCATCTTGCCTGCCAGCCTCTTGGTGCCATGCCATGCGTCAAACACCTTGCGCGCATTCGACTGTGCGGGGAGCACGAGGCAGAAAAGGAACGAGACAGAGGGAGAGAGTGAGAGTAAACAGCATACATTTCAGCAACTTAACAGCACTTGTGACAACAAACATAAGGCCAATCAACAACCCACGCCCCCCACCCACCTTATCAACTACATCATCACAATCAGCACCACGTGCCACTGCCACGTCAGCTAGTCCCACCATCCACCTCACCAGGAAAAGCGCCACGTGGCGGTGCCCCTTGTCACTCGCGAGCTGAGCTGGCATGCTCCCAGTGGAGTCCGTCGCAATCAAATCATCCTTGCTGCCAGCCTGGACCAATAGGGTAACCGCATCCAAATTACCCCTGATTGCCGCCCAATGAAGGGGCGTGCACCCCTCCTTGTCGGGCCGTGAGAGGTATGCGTCACAGAAGAGCAGCAGGCGGATGGGGTCTGCAAAGCCCTTATAGGCCGCCCTGTGAGAGGATTGGGAGGGGTTTAAACACGGGGTGGATGAATGATGAGGCGAGCACGCACGTCAGTGTCAGTCGCAACAGCCATGCCCCCCCGTGTAGCTACACATGTACAGCAACCCACCAGTGATCTTATCATCCCATCACCCGTCATCTTGATGACCTCAAGCCTTGTTTTGAGGCGCCTCAAAACACACATGTGCAGCAACTCACCAGTGATCGTTACATCCCATCACCAGTCATCATGATGACCTCAAGCCTCGCCAGTGCAGCGGGGTGCGGCCGTCGTTCTCAGTGGTATCAGCCAAGGCCCCCCATGTAGCCACACCTGTGCAACAACTCACCAATGATCTTAACATGGCAAACCCTCACACCGAACTAAAAACCTCAAAGCCTCACCAGTGCAGCGGGGTACGGCCGTCGTTGTCAGTGGTATCAGCCAAGGCCCCCCACGTAGCAACAATGTGGTATAGTAACGCCGTCTGCCCGTACTGCGCTGCCACGTGTGTGGTCTGAACGGTATAGAGCAAGAAAGGGGCGGTACAAGAGAGTGGTACAGGGGAAGAAAGCGGGGATTGCATCAGCCAAGGGGCACAATGTGGTATAGGAACGCCGTCTGCCCGTACTGCGCTGCCACGTGTGTGGTCTGAATGGTAGAGAGCAAGAAAAGGAGGGGGGGGGGAGGGGGGGGAAAAGATGGGGGGGGGAAAGGAGAGAGGGACAGTGAGCTTGCATCAGCCATGGCCCCCCATGAGGCCACAATGTGGTATAGGAACGCCGTCTGTCCGTACTGTGCTGCCACGTGTGTGGTCTGAATGGCAGAGAGTCGAGGCGGGAGGGAGTGGGGGGAAGGGCGGGGGAGAGGAGAAGAGGGGAAGGGGGAGGGGGGGAGGGGGGAAGCAGGGTTTAGGGTACATTGACAGTAGTAGAGCAGAGGTCACGTGTGTGGTCTGCAATGATAGAGAGCTGAGGCGGGAAGGAAGTTGGTGGTTGAAGGGGTGGGGATGGCTTAGGGCGCACCGGCAGGGTAATCAAGAAGGCCGCCTGATGGGAAGTGTCGGATGAACCATGTGCAGCGAGGTTGTTTTTGAGACGTCTCAAAAACAACCTCGCTGCGGGTGGGGATGGCTTAGGGCACACCGGCAGGGTAATAAAGAAGGCCGCCTGATGGGAAGCGTAAGATGAACAGAACCGCATCAGCTTTTGAGTCGACTCAAAAGCAGGAAGTTGGCAATTGAAGGGGTGAGGATGGCTTAGGGTACACCGACAGGGTAATAAAAAAGGCCGCCTGAAGGGAAGTATCAGATGAACAGAACCGTATCATCCAAACAAAGCCAAAAGAAGAAGAGAACCGTTATTTCGATATTAGGTTTCGCTGATTGTTTTTGTTTCACGTTTTCGCTTGCTCCATACACCATATCCTCCCTTTCCCCCCCACACACACCACCACCAACCCAGCAAAGTGTAACCCTATGGGATAGGGTTACAATGCATACTTACCCTGTAACCGTGTGAATCCGCAACCTCCACGTCAGCGCCACGTTGCAGCAACACGTCAGCAACAGCGATGCCACCTCGCACTGCCGCCCAATGCAACGCCGTCTGCCCCGACCTATCTTTGGCATTCACGTCCGCTCCTTTCTGCGTTTGGGCGGATCACAATGCAAGGGAAAGGGTATCACCCAGGTTAGAAGATAAAGCACCGATGCCACCACGCTCTGTGACCCAGTGCAGCGTCGCCTGCCTCGATCTATCCTTGACATTCACGTCCGATCCTTCTGGAGAAGTTTTGGTCGAGGTAGGATGTGGTGGAGGCGGACTTGGTCGAGGTAGGATGTGGTGGAGGCGGATTTGGTCGAGGTAGGATGTGGTGGAGGCGAATTTGGTCGAGGTAGGATGTGGTGGAGGCGGATTTGGTCGAGGTAGGATGTGGTGGAGGCGGATTTGGTCGAGGTAGGATGTGGTGGAGGCGGATTTGGTCGAGGTAGGATGTGGTGGAGGCGGATTTGGTCGAGGTAGAATGTGGTGGAGGCGGATTTGGTCGAGGTAGGATGTGGTGGAGGCGGATTTGGTCGAGGTAGAATGTGGTGGAGGCGGATTTGGTCGAGGTAGGATGTGGTGGAGACGGATTTGGTCGAGGTAGGATGTGGTGGAGGCGGATTTGGTTGAGGTAGGATGTGGTGGAGGCGGATTTGGTCGAGGTAGGATGTGGTGGAGGCGGATTTGGTGGAGATGGGATGTGGTGGAGATAGGATGTGGTGGACATAGGATGTGGTGGCGATAGGATGTGGTGGAGGCGGATTTGGTGGGGAAGTAGCGGAGGGAAGGAGGTGAAGAGGACGAGTGGAGGGTGAAACGGAGGAGGGTGGCGGAGTGGGGGAGCCATACAAGGACTACGCAGACCAAATGACCAGACCGGTTATTTTCGCATTACTTGTTCGAATTTTGCTCGCGGAAACAGAAAATGGAAGGTAAAAGGTGAGCCAATTAACACAGGTGACCAACGCTGATGATAACGCGAGTGGCGTGGCCTTTCACGAGTCGCCCCAAAAGAAAGATGTAAACACGACTGTACTACGAATACGAACAAAGAAAAACGTACATGACTGCAAATTCACGTTTAATTACTCACATCGAGAAGGTACGTCGCTATAACGGGTTTGTTATTAAGCGCGCTCCACTGTAGCGCGGAGTATCCGCCGCCATCAGTGGCATGGATGGAGTGACCCTCCTCTTCCACCAGCCGTCTCAGCTTCCCCAGGTCGCCGTACGCTGCAGCAGTGTATACGTCCTCTTTGCTCCGCTCATCATCCTCCCCTCCTTCGCCGCCTGCCTGCTCCGTTCCCGACCGCTGATTCTGGTTCGGATTCTGGCTCGAGTTCTGGTTCGGGTTTTGATTTGAATGTTGTCGCTGCTGCTGCTGCTGTTGCTGCTGCTGCTGCTCTACTGCTGCTTGACGTTTGTTCGAGTCTTTCTGGTCATTCCCGGCGGAACTAAAATCTCTGGAATCGGATACAAGGCTGTCGATCTCGATCTCCGAGCGAGCCATATCGAAATGAAGTACGACTTAAGATACCTTAGAGATTCTAGATTCTCCTAAGCACTCTAAATGCTACAGGGGCTAAGGATTACATTAAGTACACACGAAAAATGGACCAGAAATTCTAAGCTCGAGCCCGCGGAGCACCATGAATGTCACAATATTTTAGCACGATCAGAATTTGCCAGCGACCGGAGGCTTATGAGATCGAGCCGTTAGATTCGTAAGAAGCTCCCTGCGTTTTTACAAACATAAAACTGGACCACAAACGGCACTAACACCCGAGAAAGTCTGTAGTGACGAACAGTCACTGAGGAGCACGATGTGAGGAAATCAATGCTGGCAAGACCCTATGTGTCCTAACGTTAGTTTTTGCTGAATAACCCTACGCAGCTGTTGCGGTACATATTTTTAGGGATCGGCCGCTGAAGAAAGCAGAGCCCCTCCCTCGACCACAAAGTAACGGCACGCGCTTATGAATCCCCCAAAACAACCTCTCTAATCTGGCCTCGATACCTCTTCCCTTATCTCTTACGGAATCCTGTCTTCCGAGTTCTCAACTTGAAAGGATCACATAACCAGCCTATGCACCAGACATTGGGAACACCTGTGACAGGTGCGGAACGGATGCAAGGGATGGATGCATTCTAGGCGAACGCGTTGCTTGCTTGGTTGAACGAGGTCCGAAAGACGGCACACAGGCTCGGAACGATTGAGTTTGGCTTGGGGCGAGCGAAGTGAACCATGGTCCTCCTTGGCTCCTCCGAGCCGAGCCTATTTCCAAACCTGAGAAATTACTCAAAGCTACAGCCTATCAAAATACAGATCCACAACACCCTACCAGACCACTAGGTGTGTTTTGAACCACATTGAAGGCTCGGAACAAGGAAAGCCTGCTCTGCTTCCTACAGCACCTTGCCTCGGGCGCGTGGGAGCACGTCAGAGGCAAGGGAGTGAGGTTTCCCGCGAAAACATTGCACTACCTGGTTCGTCGCTCCGCCAAGTCGAACAATTGTCGCTTTATTGCGTTTTCTGCTGGCTATGGTACAACTACATTATATATTGTGCATTCAGATTTGTTGAGTGGACAACAGTGGACACCCATAAACAAACAAGCAAACTGACGTATCTCACAATCTCATAAATACCACCCCCAATGAAAAAATGGGTTCAAACGAACTCTGTCAAACGTCCAGACGACAGGACGAAGCAACCGGGGCGGTCGATGGTGTAGTTTCCACCACTCGGGGAACTGTACAAAAAGCACACATAAAAGGAGTCACAAAAATGGCTTGGTCAAAGGAGCACAGGAGACAACCATTGTCCTTGCACTCCCCTTCAAGACCACCATAACTCATATGTTTTGCAAAGTGCTGTCACTTGAAAAAAAAGCATCTCCCCACCCCTCTTCCCCACTCTCCTCCCACCACTCCTCTCCTCTCCCCCTACTTCCCCCTCATCTCCCCTCTTCCCCCCCTTTTCCTCCTTGGCCTCCCTCACCTGTCCCATGTAGCCGCTCCATTATTGGTCACAAACTCAAGCGAGGATGCTCTTATGGAGTACACCTGCAGCAACAACGGGGACAGAGAAAACACCCCGAGGGAAAAAGAAAGGAAGGGGAAGGAAGGAGAATGAGGGGGAGGCAAGGGGAGGAGGAAAAAAAAGGAGAATGGGAGAAAGGGAGGAAAGGGGACGAAATGGGAGAAAACGGGAGCCAAAGGTAGGGTAAATGGGACAGAAATTTCATTCAGAAAACGTGAGCATAAGCAAGAAATAGTGGAGCTTAGACGCAGAAAGTCAGGAGAAAACGTGAAGCAAGGGGATGGGAGTACAACAAACACAGAGGAGCCATTGCTGAGATGTCTCAAAAGCACAACCCTTGAAATGTGTCAGTGGTTGCACCACTGATACATGCAATCCGCCCAAGCATGAACTAGTGAGCTGCAGCCTGCAGGCTTCAAAGGCAACGAGGAACGTACCTTGAGGGGAAAGCCAGCCGGCCCCTTGGCAGTGGAGTCCTTCATCCTCATGCCGGGTACAGCAGTCCAACTGCCAGGAGGAGGAGGGCACAGGGGGAGAGAGACAGAGGTGAGGAGTTTTCTGCAGGGCAACAGGGACAGTGGCCGGAGGAAAGCCAGCCAGCCCCTTGGCAGTGGAGTTCTTCATCCTCATGCCGGGCACAGCAGTCCAACTGCCAGGAGCGATGGGGAGGGGACAGGGGGGAAGAGAAGTGGGTGTATATAACATGCACAGTAAGTGAGGAATTTTTAACAGGGCAACAGGGACTGTGGCAGTGGGAAAGCCAGCTGGCCCCTTGGCAGTGGAGTGGAGTTCTTCATCCTCACGCAAGCGACAGCAGTCCAGCTGTAGGGCACAGAGGGGAAGAGGCGCAGGAGTGAGACCAAGAGACTCGACTCACCCTGAAGGTGTGCCGTTGTGGTGAATGTATACCTGCTCCCCCCCAGACTCGTAGAACACTGGAACCTGGTGGTGTTTGGTTGTTGTGGATTTCCATGCATAAACCCCCTGTCTGTTGACCAACAAGCTTTAACTCACCTTGAAGACGTGCCGTTGTGGTTAATGAAAATGCCTGCTCCAAACCGGTCACATAGAACACTGTGATCACCCCTTTCCCATCACAAAGATCCCACCTACCTGACCATGAAGCTCGTCTCACTCACCCTGATGACGTGCCGTTGTGGTGAATGAACGCCTGCTCCCACCCCGTCTCATAAAACACCGTAATCACCCCTTCCCCACTGCCCCCGCTCTCCTCCCCATCCACCCCCACCAGCGCCATCAACTCATCCCTCCTCCTCCTCTCCTCATCTGTCCCACCCCCACTCTCCGAATCATTCTCGCTCTTCCCAAATTCCGCCCACTCCCCAGGAGGGGAATCGTCCCACCATCCTGCCACCACCTCTCCATCCCTCCTACCCTCCTCCCCACTCACTCCCCCTCCTCTCTCTCCTCTCACTCCCCGTCCGCCCTGCTCCATCGCTGTATTACTCGTCCACCTCCCCACCTCCCCTATCACACCTTCAAGAATCGCCATACCCTCCTCCACCCTCCCCGCACTCATCGCCTCCCTCACCCCCACCAACTCCCCAAACACCGCCGCCAGCTTGGCATGCACCGCCTCCAGCCGCCACGTCAGCAGCTGCGCGCGGGACTCCAGCGCCCGCTTGTCGCGCCGCAATTTGGCAATCTCCCGCCCGAGCACGTCAGCGACGCGCTCCAGCCGGGCGGCAGTCGCCAGCTCAGCTTCTTCTGCCCGAGAAACTGCAGCTTGAAGGGCAAGGAGACGCATTATAGAGTCCCCTGTGCTGTCTGGCTCAGGAGTGGCAGTGGCTGTTGCTGTGCCTGATCCTGCTCCTGACGACCGCTGCGCTTTGCTTCGAGAGGATGACGAAGGGGAGGATGAGGATGAGGAAGAGGAGGAGGAAGAGTGTGTGGGGATGGCCCTGCCATTGCTGCTTCGAGCGCTGCTGCTGGTATCAACACCACTGGATCCGTTTCTATCGTGCCCATCCCCATGCTCAAGGCTGCTGCTGCTGCTGCTGCTGCTGCTGCTGCTGCTGGTAACGGATCCGCCTTTAGCAAGTACGAGCTGCTGCAGGGAAGCCACCATGGAAGACCGTTCCTTCTCCCACTCCTCGCGCCTCAGCCTCATCTCCCGGTCCTTCAGTTCCACCTGCAGCAGCATGTACAAATCAGAGTAAAGACGTATTGGCTTAGAACAGGGCAGCAGCAGTAACAAAAATCAGTGATGCGACTCAAAAACCGTTCCTTCTCCCACTCCTCGCGCCACAGCCGCATCTCCCGCTCCTTCAGCTCCACCTGCAGAACCATTATTACTTTTGAGAATTCGCAAAAGCTCCACCTGCAGCACCATTATTAGCAGACACGGAAGCTCCAGCACTTGTTCGGCATCAGAATTTGTTTTTGAGGCGCCTAAAAAACTTGATCCTTCAGCTCCAGCCGAAAGGAGCTGACTCACATGTGTTGAAGCCTACCATTGAGGCGCCTTAAAACCAGACTCAAATGTGGGTGAGGTGAGAGTAAACCAAGGTAACAGTGACAGCTACACACGTGTATGAGCAGGTGGCGAGTGCGCTGCTGCGTTGCCTGCAACTGTTTGTGCTTCCAAGGAATGCAAACCTTAAGGAAACTGATCGTGAAAGCATCACCTGTATGAGCAGCTGGCAAGTGCACTGCTGCGCTGCCTGGAGCTCTGGTAACATAAAACACATGTGCAATTACACTGAGAGGAGACTTGAGTCAAAAGTGTGACAATACATCGATGTGACTGTGAGAGGCACGCACCTGTATAAGCAGCTGGCGAGTGCGCTGCTGTGCTGCCTGGAGTTCCGATTGCATTGTCTCTACCGCTGCACCCACCACGGCCTCCATATCCCCCACTGTCACTCGCTGCTGCACCTCCTGTGCCACTGATTGCGCCTGCACGGTGGAGTTAGATAGGGTGTAATGCGGTGGGGTGGGGTAGGGTGAGACAGAGAGGTCAGCTGTCCCCCACCACGGCCTCCATATCCCCCACCGTTACTCATTGCTGCACCTCCTGTGCCACTGATTGCGCCTACACGGAGGGGTGGGGTGCGGTGGGGTGGAGTGTGGTGGGATGGGACAGGATGAGCAAGGGACAGAGCGAAGTCTGCTGCACCCACCACGACCTCCATATCCCCCACTGTCACTCGCTGCTGCACCTCCGATTGCACTTTTGCCACCGATTGCGTCTGCACGGTGGCATGAAATTGGGGGGGTGGGATGGGGGGAACAAGAGCGGAGAGCAAAAACATGGATCAAGAATGAGCCCCCACCACCACCACTGCCTACATATCCCCCACCGCCACTCGCTGTTGCACCTCCAATTGCACCTAGTTGCCATGTTACCAGGTTACACTACCTTATCAAGTTACCATGGTAGCAGCCTCTGTTCCTCTCAGGTTACCACATTACCAGCCTCTGTTGGTTACAATGGTACCAGCCTCAGTTTCTCTCAGGTTACCATGTTACCATGTCTACACTACCTTGTTCAGCAGCCGCTGCCGCTCCTCCTCCATCTCACGGTTGTCTGACGAGATAAGCGCGTCGTTGGATTGCACCTCCCTCCCCTTCCTCCCTTTTCTGACAGCCCCAAGCTATTCTTGTTCCCTTCCTCTCCTCCCACAGTACCTTGTTCAGCAGCCGCTGCCGTTCCTCCTCCATTTCACGGTTGACGGACGAGATAAGCGCGTCATTAGATCGCACCTCCCCTGCCAGCCGCACCAGGCTGCTCTGCGCGCCTGCCAGGGGGGCTTGCGGCTGCAGGTGGCGTGCAGTGGGGGGACAAGGGGGGAAAGAGGAGGGAGAGCGAGGAAAAAAGGGGAGAGTGTGAGGGCTGTAGACAAACGATCGTCACATGTAGAGGGAAAGCAAAAAAGTGAGGAAGAGGCGAAAAGGGGAGGGGGGGGAAGGGGGGTGGGGGAGGGAGTGGGTGAGATACAAGGGCGCGACAGAGGAGGAGGCAGAGGGAGGGGTAGAGGGAGCAGCAGAGAAAGCGGCAGGAGAAGCACATACAGTGATGTCAATGACTCCGCTGCTCCCAGACTGCACGTTCCCCCCCCACGCCTCCTCCACTGCGGCCACTCCGCTCTCACCCACAACCAACCCCACCCCTCCTGCTCCTGCTACTGCACCTCCTCCAATCCCTGCCAGAGCCGCCGCTGCTGCCCCTGCTTCTATCCCTGCCGCTCCTGCCACCGCAGCCACCCCTGCTGCTCCTGCCGCTGTCCGAGCAGCTATCCCCCCAGCCCCAGTGCTTACTCCCAGGGGAGGATCATCAGGCGAGGGGGGGGGCAGCAGCGTTTCAAACGCGCGCGAGAGTTGAGACGCCATGTTCTTCCACAGGCTCGCAAAGGGGCTGCTGCCGCCGCCTGCTGCCGCTACAGACGCCGCTGTAGCGGCTGTGGCGGTTGTGGCGGATGGTATTGCCGGCTGGGAGGAATGTGCTGCGGGGTTGGAGGCGGTTGGTTGTGTTTGGGAGGGGGTGTGAGGTCCGAGGGGGGACCCAGCACCGGCAGCACTCATGGCTGATATCTGTGGAGGGAGGGGGAAGGGTGGGGAGGAGATCAGGGGAGCATAATGAGCTGAGGGGAGGAGGCGGGCAGCAGCGTTTCAAAAGCGCGGGAGAGTTGAGACGCCATGTTCTTCCACAGGCTCGCAGAGGGGCTGCTGCCGCCGCCTGCTGCCGCTACAGACGCCGCTGCTGCGGCTGAAGTGGCTGTAGCGGCTGTAGAGGATGGTATTGCCGGCTGGGAGGAATGTGCTGAAGGGTTGGAGGGGTTGGAGGCGGTTGGTTGCGATGGGGAGGTGGAGTGAGGTCCGAGGGCGGACCCTGCAGCACTCATGGCTGATATCTGTGGAGGGAGGGGAGAGGGGATGGATGAAAATGATGGGGGTTTACAACTGTGGAGGATTCATGTGCTGGGGGGTTGGAGGAGGTTGTTGGTTGTTCTAGGGACGTGGAGTTCAGTGCGTTGGCGGACCCAGCAGCACTCATGGCTGATATCTGTGGAGGGAGGGGAGCGAGGGCAAATGAGATTGAAGGGGATACGTGAGATTCTTTTGAGAATCTTTTGAGATTTGATGGCGTGCTGTGGAGGTCGCGCGTGTGGGGAGGTGGCGTGAGTACCGTGGGTGGACCCAGCAGCACTCATGGCGGATAACATCTGCCACCATTCACACACCTACACACCACGCACCTGTTGCTGCACCCTCTGTTGGATCTCCAGCATCGAACCCAGCGCAGCAGCAGAGTCCCTCTGGGCATCGTACGAGTATGCGAGAGCAGCATCCAACGGCCGCCCTGCCGCCTCAACCCCTTCCTCCGAACCCCCTGCTGCCGCGTCCGCTCCAGCTTGTGCTGCGAGCGTCTCGGCAGGGTCATCCATAGGGTCATCAAAGAGGCCGGACGGCGGCATGTCTGGGAGATCAGTGCGGATGGAGAGACGCACGATGTTGTACAGCGAGCCGTACTCGCGCTGTAGAGACTGAGAGGGGAAAGAAGGGGTGCGAAGGGGTGAGAAGGGGTGGAAAGGGGTGAAAAGGGGTGAGAATGGGTGGGGTAGAGGGCGGATGGCGGCATGTCTGGCAGGTCCGTGCGGAGGAAGAGGAGCACGATGTTGTACAGCGAGCCGTACTCGCGCTGTAGAGACTGGTAGAGAGGGGTGACAAGGGGTGACAAGGAGTGACAAGGGGCCGGATGGCGGCGTGTCTGGCAGGTCCGTGCGGATGGAGAGACGCACGATGTTGTACAGCGAGCCGTACTCGCGCTGCAGGGACTGGGGAGTGGGAAAGGGTGAGAAGGGGTGGAATGGGGCGAGAAGGGGCGGAATGGAGTTACAAGGGGTGGGAATGGGTGGGGAAGAGGGATGGATGGAGAGAAGCACGATGTTGTACAGCGAGCCGTACTCGCGCTGTAGTGACTGGTGGGAGGGGGAGGGGTGAGGAGGGGTGATACGTGGTGAGAACGGGTGAGAAGGGGTGAGAAGGGGCGAAGTGCGGTGCTTGAGGAGCTTCGTCCCAGCATAGCCTTCAGCTGAAGATTACATGGCTTAAAACGAACGAGATACGACTTGACGACTTACTTTAAGAGTGGCCGTCACTTGTACTGGCACGCGTCGCGAGCTTGAGGAGCTTCGGCCCGCCATGGCTTTGAGCGACACGGCTCGCTCCAATAGTCGCTCAATGCGACCGCGAATCTCCGTCGCCGGTCGCAGGTTCGACCCGTACACTGTGTGCACCTGCGTCCCGTCACCGTCAAAGTTACCGTTCGCCGTCTGACGGCCGTCCGAGTTGATCTTCTTCTGCAGCCATTGGATGGATGTGATCAGATCCGAGATCTCCTTCCGAATTGAATCAACCTCCCGCGCCGCGGGACCGGCAATGTTACCGTTGTTCGCGGCGCGCGGAACCACGCTCGACCGTTCCCGCTTCTGGAACGATAACTCAGACAAGTTCCCAGTCGCGCTCCAGCCATTATCAGTTATAGCCTCGTGTTTGGAGGAAAGTGCAGGGGAAAGGTCTTGGGAGAGTCTAGGGAAGAGTCTGGGGGAGAGGCTACAGGATACTTTAGGGGATATTCTAGGGGACAGCCGGAGGGACATTCCGCAGGAAGGAGCGGAAGGTGGTATGGGGAATGGTCTTGGAAGTAGATCAGATGTGAGCGACACGGCGTAGCAACTGCAGTGCTCGCTTGCTGCAGTTGGGATGTACTGGGTTCTTGCGACCATTCTCGGATGGCTTTGCTGTGTGGTCGTCGCCATGGGCTGAGCGGAGCGGCGGAGAGGCGGGGGATGCAGGCGGAGGTGTGTTTGCGTCGCCATGCCGGAGAACGGGGTACGCGGAAATCCTTCCCCAAAAAAACAAATCACACAAAATTAAAGCACACCAACGGCGCCGCGATAAGTTAGCACGACGAGAAAGTTTTCTTGCCGCTGCGATGCCGTTGTCGCTTGCGGCTGTGTCCCTCAAACGTATCCTTCGATGTGGCTTCCTGGAAACGCATCGGAATACTGAGGCTTATTGGAGCTTAGCTATAACAATAAACTAAGAACCAAAAAGACGTGTGTAGGACTGCTGGCTCATCGCGACAATGAGGTACTAAAGCAGCAGCGTTTTGAGAAACGCCTCGTTCCTCGACTCATCGACGACGCGGGAACACAAGCCGACGCGCTGCTGCATCAGCAGACTCGTTTCAGAGGACGTATCGCGATGCGCCAGTAGGCCTGAATCTCTAGTTGCCTCCTTAGAAGTGTCCGCCAGCGAACAAAGGAGACGATGGACAAGTGGATGGTCTAGGGAATGGCACGGCAGATTTAGGGAATGGTTTGCTGAGCATAGGGAATCGCTGTCTCCGATTCAGCAAGAGCTGTATGATTTCCCGCGGTTATATATGGTTTTTTAAATAAAAAAGCGGTTGTAAAAGGTTCTGCGGCGAATATATGCGTGTACCATATAAAATTGGGTTCACGATCTTGTCATTTCGTTGGATGCTGCAGAACCTGGAAAAAGCAATCCTGCGAGTGGGGAAAGTGGGGGTAGGTGGTGGATGTGGGGCACAAAAACGGCGCGAACGGACATGATTGGCTCTGGTCGATTAGTCGGGCAGCACGACGGATAACGATTGGAGGGCGTCGGACTGTATTGAGATATTTCACGTTCTTGTATTGAGAATGATGCCATCGAACCATCACACAATCGCAATGGTTTACATGACGTGTAAAAACATTGAAACATAATCTGTACCACCATCAGAACACATATCTCACCATCATTTCACTTTTGAAAGCCACAAGTGGTAGCTGTGACAAACATTACAGCGAATCTACCATTAAAGGAATGGATACAGCAATGATAGCACATGACGAGGAATGCGCATGGGCATTAGGCTACGCATATAATTGAGGTAGCATGGCAGCGGAGAGCAGGCTACAGGACTAAGGGCACAGAGGTGCACAAGCTGACTCTAGTGGGGCAGCTGCTGCAGAAGCAACGAATTAGAGGGATAAGCCAGAGGGCTTAGAGGGAGCAGCAGCAGAACCAGCAGTAGCATTGGAGGCAGCAGTGGGAACAGCAGCACAGCTAGCAGCAGGATTAGCAGCCGCGGCAGGACTAGCAGCAGGATTGGCAGCAGTGGCAAGCCTAGTGTCGCTTCATTTCGCGGAAAGTGGCAGCAGCAGAGGGGGAGAGACGCACGAGGTACTTGAACACCTGGTGGGTTGAGGTTTGGATTGGAAACAGAAGAGCAAGGAAAGAAAGGGTATGAGCAGCAGAGAGAGAGAGCCGCACGAGGTACTTCAACACCTGTGAGGTTGGGGTTGGGAGAGGAGAGCAGGAAAGCAAGAGAAAAGAAGGGAAAAAAGGTATGCGAAAGAACATATGACAGAGTGAGAGGCAGAAAGAGCATACGATTGAAAGCGGTTCAGGTGGATACGGCCAGATTCAACGAACAAATGATAAAAAGCATAGCGCTTCAGAAGACATGAACCGTACCCAGAGCTTGAAGGAGTTGATGGTGACGGGCACAATGGCCACACACTTATTCAAAGTGGCTAGATTCAGTGAATGTACAGTTTGAGCGTGAGAGCAGATGAGTCTTACCCAAAGCTTGAAGGAGTCGATGGTGACGGGCACGATGGCCACATGCAGCTGGATACGGCTAGACACAATGAACCTATGAATGCACTCGTAAAACACATGGCTCGTACCCAGAGCTTGAAAAAAGAGTCGATGGTGACGGGCACGATGGCCACAAAGATGTAGATTGAATTCTGATCCGCCACGAGCCCGTAGTGATCCAGAAACATCTCCACCACCGTCTCCCAGCCCGACTCTGAGTGGTACCTGGAGAGACACAGAAGGTACGAGTACAAGTCATAAGGTCAGCAAGGAGATGTGGGAAAATTTAGCTAAGACTCTGATCCGCCACGAGCCCGTAGTGGTCGAGAAACATCTCCACCACCGTCTCCCAGCCCGACTCCGATTGGTACCTGCATGATTTAAGGGGGATAAGCAGTGGTCACAAGGATAGCAGTGCGGTTTGAGGAGATGTAGATGGGGCTCTGATCCGCCACGAGCCCGTAATGGTCGAGAAACATCTCCACCACCGTCTCCCACCCCGACTCTGAGTGGTACCTGCACAGGAGGAGAGGAGGTCAGTAGAGAAAGGGGCATATGGATGGCATTTGCAAGGAGCATACAGAATGTTCCGGAACCAGGCCGTAATGGTCGGGACTCGGGAAACATCTCCACCTTCGTCTGTCTCCCACCCGGACTTGGAATGGTGTTTGCATTGCACAGGACGAGAGGGGAACAAGGGGAAAAAGGGGAGAGCAGGGAGCCACTTGCCATCAGCATCATTCTGTCCCAACAATCATTCCAAGACAGTTTCTTAAGCGCCTCAGAAGTCCTTTTTGGAACTCCAACCCAGGAACTTGTCAGAGCAGGGGATGATGACAAGCGCAAACCCTCCCCCGTCCCCCCTCTCCCCCTCACCCCCAGGACGCACCCCAGGAGGATGTCAGAGCAAAGGATGATCACAAACGCCTTGCCTCTTCCCCTCTCCCCCGCTCCCCCTCCCCCCAGACTCACCCCAGGAGGATGTCAAATCAGAGGATGATGACAAACGCCTTGCCAGTGTCTGAGACGTTGGTGAACCACTCGCCCCCTCTCCCCTTTTCCTGGTTCCCCCTCCTCTCACTCTCCCCCTCCCCCCCAGGACGCACCCCAGGAGGATGTCGGAGCAGAGGATGATCACAAACGCCTTGCCAGTGTCTGAGATATTGGTGAACCACTCGCCCCTCCCCCTCGCCCCTCTCCCCTGTTACTGATCCCCCCTCCTCTCACTCTCCCCCTCCCACACCACTCACCCCAGGAAGATGTCAGAGCAGAGGATGATGACAAACGCCTTGCCCGTATCTGAAATATTCGTGAAGATGCGATCGCCCGTGAGTTTCATGATGCCCACTTGGCTTGGATTTGCGTACAGGATGAATGCGAATATGAGCCACCCCACTGTGTCTGAGAAGATGTATGCGAAAGCGGCCTCGTTCTCGTGCCGAATCTCCTCCCGCATCTCACGCCTGGGGAATTTGACAGTGTTGGACAGGGTTTAAGGGGGTTTAACAGGGTTAAAGATTTTAGGGTTGAAGGCTGAGGGATGGGGATGCGAAGGTGCAAAGATGAACAATCTCAGGTCCAAACACCAACCCCATCTCAACCCGAAACCCAGCAAACCCCAAATCTTGCCCGCCACTCATGCTTCCTCCTGCAGGTAAGCCGCCAATCCATATTTCGACAAGAGAGGTGCCTTCCAAATGTCTGCCCCAATTTTAGGACCCACTCCACAACCTGCCAAAAACCATGCCCACAACCCTAAATATTGCCAAACCCCACACCCTTCCAACACCCCACACCCCAAGCCCCCACCACGCACGCTTCCTCCTGCAGGTAGGCCGCCAATCCGTCTTCAGACAGTGGAGGCGCCTTCCCAATGTCCGCCTCGAAGCGAATGCGCTGCCTCTCGAGCTTGAGGCGCTCAATCATGTTGAGCTTCTGCTCCTCCCTTAAGTCCAGCATGCGCGCTACCAAAGGGGTGGTGTGTGCATAGCTGGGGTGGAAGCAAGTGGTTGGGATGGGTTAAAGGAGGGTGAATCCAGGTGACACAATATTTTAAGGTGCAACCCTCAAAGCGCTGCCTCTCGAGGGTGAGGCGCTCAATCATGTTGAGCTTCTGCTCCTCCCTTAAGTCGAGCATGCGCGCTATCAGCGGGGTGGTGTGTGTGTAGCTGTGGGGGGGACGAGATGGTTGGGATGGGTGGAAAGAGGTTGAGCCCTCTGCTTCTGCTCCTCCCTCAGGTCCAGCATGCGCGCTAGCAACGGGGTGGTGTGTGCGTAGCTGGGGGGAGAAATTCAGAAGTTGGGAAAGAAAGAGTTGGGAATGAAAAACGGGACGCTCTCACTCCAATAGATGCTAGGGGGATGCTTCGTGGGTCAGATGAATTTGGGAGTTACGCCAAGAGGGATCCAGGTAGTGTTCCGGGTTGCAAACATTCAAGTTTGCAACTTCTTGAGCCTCACAATCGCTCCGGTGTGTGCTTAAATTCACTTTTAAGTTTACTTCTAATGTCCGTGGTCCCCTCGTTGCAAGTCCACTTGCATGACAGTGAGCATAAATTTTACTGGCGTGTGTATGAAGCATTCAGTCCCTTCATCACTCAATGAATGGCTCAGAAAAATCCAGTGCTCCAGTCCTGAACCCTTATTTTGTGTGTGCAGATTTGACACGCACTGGTGTGCAAATTTGATACGCACTGATTTGCAGATTTGACGCACACTGGTGTGCAGATTTGATACGCACTGGTGTGCAGATTTCATACGCACTGGTGTGCAGATTTGATTCGCACTGGTGTGCAGATTTGATTCGCACTGGTGTGCAGATTTCATACGCACTGGTGTGCAGATTTGATTCGCACTGGTGTGCAGTTTTGATACGCACTGGTGCATGAAGGGCGTGAGGATGTAGTCATGCAGTACCCAGCTGCACGCCCATGGCACCGCAATGAGGAAAATGACAAACTTGGCCTGCCAGATGAGAAACAGGAGAGGGAGGCAGAAAGGAATAAAGGAGAGGGAGGGGGAGGGACAACGGAAGGGCTTATCTTTCCTATGTCTTTCTCTTTTGTTCCTGTGTCTCGTATTGCGCTCCCTTCATTATTCCCACACTTACCTGCCCCTCACAGTCATCTGCCCCTCAAACCCATCCGCCCCTTACTGTCAATACCAAAGTCTGCCCCTCGCCTTCAACAGTCCCTTATCCTCAACTGCTCCCCCAAATGCCATCTCCCCCTCACCGTGGTCTGAGACGTGTATCGGAACACCCTTTCCTCGAACGTCAAGCTCTCCTCCACCTCGTCCTGCGGCTTAAAGATCCGCAGCAGCAGCTCCTTAAACGACCGGCTCATGCCTCTCTCCGGGATATCCGGCGCCTCTCGCGGCATCCCGCCCTTCTCCCAGTCCGGCTGAGGCTCATACCACCCACCATTCTCATAATCATACTCCGACGGATCATCTATCCAATCTTCCCACTGCCGATCATCAGGATCCTCCCCTGCCAATTGTATCCCCCGTAATTCCCGGGACGTTTGCCACCGCTCGAATCGCTCGGGATCGGCCAGCATGGCGTCTATGTCGTCGTCCGGGCCGCCTACTATCTGACGTTTCTGCCAACGTGGAAGCGGCGCGCCGGGCTCGCCGGGACCAGAACTGCTTCCGGACGTCCCCGGACCTGTTTGCCCGAACCCCTTTCCGAAAACCGAGCCTGATCCCGTGCCACCCCACCCAGATCCCTTGAACCCTGGAGCTTCGATTTTCGGGCCCCCACCGCTGGCGCTAAAGCCGCCTCTGTTACTGCTGCCCGTTCTCCCTGCTTCTCCGCCTCCGCTTCCGCCTCTCCGCGTGCCTGATTCCCCTCCGCCTGGCCCACCGCCTCCGCCTCTCCGCGTGCCAGTATCCCATCCTCCTAACCCTCCGCTTCCGCCTCTCCGCGTGCCAGGTTCCCCTCCGCCTGGCCCTCCGCTTCCGCCTCTCCGCGTGCCTGGTTCCCCCTCCGCTCTCCGACTCCGCCTCCGCGGATCCCCCGGTGGGCCCCCCTGAGGCTCGTCCGGAACACCGGGCCAACCCGGGGGAGGTTCGGGAGGGCGCCTTGAGAATAGGTTATCCCACCAGGCTAATCGCGTGCGCCATTGCTCCCGTCTCCTGTGTCTTCTAGCCGGGGACTCTGGTCTTCCACTGAAAGGAGTAGAAGGCGGTTGCTGGATACCATACGGGTTTGAAGGAGGATTAGAGGAGTTGGGAATGGTGCTGTGAGAAGGGGTTGAGGGAAACTGTCGTCGTGGTCTTCTGTGCGGACCTGACCCGGCTCGGCATTGTACTGATCTGCTGACGTCTGATCTGCGGATGTCTGATCTGCCCTCCCATTGCTGATACAGCCCCTGGTTTAAGCGATTCGGGGGGTTATTGCAATATGGTTCCTGGGTACGAGCAGAGCTACTTTGGTAGTCGTGAAAGCCACCAGTGCTTGCGCTGCTACTTAACGATCGTGGTATGATGGGATCGCTACCTATCCTGCAGGCGTGTAGTCTCTCAAGCACTCTCGAACGGGGAGGTAGAGGAGGGAGGCCAAGCGCAGCGCCGGAGAAACATCCGGACGACGAAAGAATCCTCCTGAAGCTATTTCTGGAGAGGTAGTTAGAATCATTCCCCGTTCTACCGGTTTGGCGCGAATGCGTCGATGTGTTATTGATCAGTGAGCTGCATTGGGCTGCGTGGCTAGGCTGGGAAGTTGAAGTCAGCATGACTGCTTTTCCCAGCCCGCAACGGACGGAAGAAAGGAAATGAGACGCTCATCTATATCCTTTCCTGCGAGCGACACTGCCGTTAACAACCTTCGCCAGTGCAACGACGTGTTGACGCTGGTGGAGTCATAGCCAGATCAGGAAATGTCGAAGTGTCGAAGCATGAAAGGTGAACAAGGACGTTATTATTGTTCAGGAGCCAGGGCGCGTTTGTTCGCCTGTCAAAATCTCGTGAGAACGATATACCTAACAGTTACGCGACTAAACTAACCACGGAAAACGATTACTTGGGATAGGTCCTGATCAGGGTCGTTATCAGGATGAAATGGGAATGGGAAGGTAGTAGAAATGAAGCGAGGTTCTCACAGATGAATATGTGAGTGGGGGGACATTTGGAGCTCCCAGGGCTGACGCTTTGCGTACTTGGCCAAGATGGATTTGTTGAGCTTAGCAGAACATAATTGCCTGCCAATCGGAATTTTTGTAACGTGGCCGTTCCAAGTCTTGGGGATCAGGCATGGCACGCTCTGGCGGGTTCGCATTGGCTAGTTTGGGATTTTGGCGGGCCTGGGTAATGCCATCGCGCTGCTTCGACTGGTTCTTCGTGTTGGCGGACGTGGCGGGAATGTCAACTCCACGTCATTCCGCCTGTCAAAGTGCTCTTATGCGCAAAGCTTGAGTGAACATTGGAACTACATCTACACCTTCATGGGTTGCTTGAGGTTAGTGTTTATAACAATGAAGGAACATAATTTCCTGCATAGCTCAGCGTGAATGAAGAAAGAATAACGAAGAACTGATATATTGATGCGGATAATTATGTACACATGGGGAACCTCAGCAAGCATAGTTTCTAGTTTCTAAAGCCATAAAGGCTCGTCCTGCAGTTGATCCAGCGAGTATTATGATGAGTGCGATCCTCCTTAGAACACAATCCCTGCCTTCGCCCTCACGTTCCGTTGCTCCGTTTGGCATGGCGACAGCTCGGCTTGCGGCCACGACCCTGACGCCAGCATCATATCCACAAACTCGCTGAAGCACAGCCGTCCATCGCCATCAAGATCGACGCTCCGGATCATTCTCTCGCATTCTTCCAGCGACATGTCCTCGTCCTCCCAGATCCCCCCCATCACTTCGCTTAACTCCTCCGCTGTGATAAAGCCGTCCTTATTCCGGTCGAACAACTCGAAAGCCGCTGCAAGGTCGTCGATCGACGGACCGTCGGACCCTCTGCAGCAGAACGCTTCAGCCGCTGATTCGCAATCGGACGCGAGGGACGCGGATAATGTCGATTTGGGAGACGCCTCAAAAAGAGACGACGTCCATGAAGAGTGGCTACTAACGCGGATGAATTCGTCAAAATCGACGTAGCCGTCACCGTCAGTGTCGGCTTGGCTCATCATAGCTTGAACTGTTTCCTCCACTCGCTCCTCTCCCAGGCTCTCCAGGACTGATGCGAGCTCTGTTGCGGAAATGCGACCGTCGCGATCTCGGTCCATTAGGTCGAAGATAAAACTGAACTCGTCAATTGGTGCTGCGATAGGCGAGTCGTGCGCAGGCATCCTTGGAGCCATGATAGATGAATGTGAAACGATGCAAACGCTGAGTTTACTAAGCTGTTGCTAGCTGCTAAAATTTACTGAAAGAAGAATTTCTGGCTTGAGTTTGTGATGTGGAATGAATAAAGTAAGAGAGCTGTCTTCCGCTGTGGAGCCTGGTAGGATTGGAGGCTACTAAATATGCCAGCCAGTCACCTTGTGGTGTGTTCTTGTCCCGAATTCAAAACGTAACTGTGTGGATGAATGATTTCGTCAGTTACTGTTGGAGCACGCATGCCGTGCTGCACTGCCCTCTGGCGGGGGGCTGGCTGGCTGGAGCAAGCAGCAACCTCGCACCAGCACCAGCTGCCTTGCTTGTGATGAGCGAGCGAGCTCGGGGGAAGGGGCTTGAAATTGGAAGGCGCGGTGGGGAATGTGGGGTGGTTTTGTCCGTGCCGTGCAACGGGGAAAGCTACGGTGGAGGGAAGCTGCAGAGCGGAGCTCAACCATACCCATCCAAGCCAAGCCACACGGTTCTAGCGTCGTTCGTTACGGACGGCTGTGGGCAAGAAATCGCACCTTCATTTCTTCATTCCGGCAGCGAACCGGCAGGGGAAGAGAAGGCAGTGAAACTCGAGCACGAGGAAGCTGCGGCGGAAGGCTTGGCTGGGAGGAGAAATGTGCGGGGCGGAAAAGCAAGGAAGGGACGGGTCACACCGGCACGGACTCACCACGGTGCGGTTCGGTTGGGTGGACGGGTGAGCCAGCGCCGGGGAAGGAGCGTTGAATCGCGGAGAGGTGAAGCCCGGGTGGATTTGGTTTGTGCTTTGTGAGGGGGTTGGGAAGGGAGCGGGGTCCACGGGAGATGTGTTACGCGCGAGTGCGCGCAAGCGGGTTTTCTGTTCCCGTCGGGGGGAGCTTAGCTGCTAGCTGGCGGACTGTGGAAGGGTCTGAAGAAACCGAAGGAAACCGCAAATCCAGCGAGCTGTCGTGCTGTCTGGCTTCGAGGCAATCGCAATTTGTCCCAACAATTCCGGGTCTGCCCAACAACGGTGCCACCAGAAACTCTGTCCGACGTCCATTTCTCCCGTGCAATTTTCCTTCATGGGGGCCAGGGAAAGTCGCTACACCGTGCACTGCATGCTCATAAACCAGCACACATCTTTCGCAACAAACCTTAGGCAAGACTCTTGGACGCTTACTGTCCGACCTCTACAGCCCTGCAGTCACGTCCGTGAGAATTTCAACTATACTGTCTCTGGAAAAATGGTTTTGGCAATGTTGTGTTTTTGTGTGTAGATGTATTACATGGCATGCACACATCATCAGTCATAACTGTATGGCAATGTTGTGAAGTATATTGTGGCTTAGCTTCAGCATAAGCCATGATCAGAAGCAACAGCAAAAAGGCTCTGGCAAAAAAAAAAAAAAATCCGACGCTTACAGAACATAGGCAATGAAGGAAGGCGATGGTCTCAATCACAATTTAACTGTATTGTACCTGCGCACCGAGCGGAACAGTCGAGTTGCTTGAAGGCTAGAAACGGTAGAGATGAAACGAGGACTTTGGAAGCATGTGCACATGGCGCGCGTGCACACATGAGGGGTTTCGTGTACGTTTTGCGAGATGGCATCATTTGCCCTGTCAACTTGTGCTTAGTTAGTCGATGACAAACCGTACGATAGTGGAGAAACGGCGAGAAACTGTCATAGATATGGCTGTATTCGCAACTATACTTCATAGGCTCTCTATGCTTGTATAGAAGAGCAGTTTTGTAGTTTTTTATTCAAGATCACTAATTCTAAACGTATAGTTTTTTGGGGGGGGTTTGCGTAGCAACCCTTTATATTTGGTTTCACATTTTGGGGATATCATTTCAACTGTGGTTTTCCATGCACTCTTTGGAGCAACTGTTTGAACTTTCTGAAACTGTGTTCAAAAGAATGCCTCAAATAATAAATAAAAGCTACTCTTGAATGATATCCCTAAATGTGAAACCAAATACTATACACGTGCGTATCATGTTGAAACCATGAACTTGTTCGACCGTCCCAGCATCGTCGATTAATACGGCGGATGGTACGGCCGAGCATAATATTCTGGCTTCAACATGGTTGTACAGATTAACAACACAGTATGAAATGTATATGGATGCTACAAAGTGAATGTTGAAATGCATCATGCAACAACAGAGGTTGATGGGGTCGTTGAAACAGCGAAAACACGCTGCCCCAAAGACGATTAACAACCTCTAATTGCATGCATGGCACATGTTAACACCACACTTTAAAACACACATCTCACAAACACGAATGCAAACACACGTAACAAGCGTTCAACCCACATACGGCGACCGACAAACCACGCGACCCCACAGTGAAACAAACATAACCAGAAGACACAAACAGACACATGCACAAACACACCCGCACGGCACACACACGCATACACAAATAGGATCGAAAGCAGACAAGCAAAACAAAGAGTTGCAATAAGTTAATTATTATCAATCACTGCTACCTTGTTCCCACTTCCTCCCCCTTTCCGCCTTCCTTCCTCTAACATCAATATCTCCTCCCACCCTTTTCCTCACTGTCTTCTCTCTCGCATTCCCCTTAGTGCTCCCCACGACGCGTCTCACACACCTTGCAAAACAAACAGGTCAAGTAGAAAATGAATTGCCCGGAAAACGGAGGGAAGTATTCAATTGCGATAACGCACTTGATTGTGAAATGGAACTTGAAAAACAGGTATGGGCTGAAATATGATAAGTACAAAAGGAAACCGAATTTTACGACTCACAATCGTGGTTTGAAGCATAGATCCCCTGGGGTCACGCACATCACGCTGGTGTACAGCAAGGCTCCAGCAAGCAAGGTGCATTGGTGCAACGAGCTGGGCATCACCATGCTACAAGGAGCCAGAGAGTTGCAGCAAGGCACCGGCAGAGGAGCAAGCGGGCTGCCGTAGCAAGGCGTAAGCTCACTGCAGCAAGGAGTGAGCTCACTACAGCAAGGCGCGAGCTCACTGCAGCAAGGCGTGAGCTCACTACAGCAAGGCGCGAGCTCACTGGAGCAAGGCGCGAGCTCAATGCAGCAAGGCGTGAGCTCAATACAGCAAGGCACGAGCTCACTGCAGCAAGGCGTAAGCTCACTGCAGCAAGGCGAGAGCTCACTGCAACAACGCGTGAGCTTACTGTAGCAACGCGTGAGCTCACTGCAGCAACGCGTGAGCTCACTGCAGCAAGGCGTGAGCTCAGTGCAGCACAGGTGAGCTCACTGCAGCAACGCGGGAACTCACTGCAGCAAGGCGTCAGCTCACTACAGCAACGCGTGAGCTCACTACAGCAAGGCGTGAGCTCAGTGGAGCAAGGCGTGAGCTCAGTGGAGCAAGGCGTGAGCTCACTCAAGCAAGGCGTGCGCAATAATTTGCCAGCGCGCAGCGCTGCAAGGCCGCTGCAGGCTTTCGCCAGCGCACTGCCGCAACAAGCAGCGCACAAGCCACCAGCGCGCGGCACGCTGCAAGGTGCCAACGCACTAATCGCCAGCGCATTAGGCGCAAGCGCGCTAGGCGCCAGCGCGCTAGGCGCCAGCGCCTTAGAAGCTAGCGTGCTAGTCGCCAGTGTGATAGTCGCCAGCGCGTTACACGCCAGCGCGCTAGGCGCCAGTCACTACGCGGCAGCACGCTAGGCGCTGTCAGAATGTTATCTTATGTTCTAGCCTGTAGTCGGGTGCTCTATAGCGAGTACAACCCTTCTAGGGTTTGCTATTTGTATCCCCATTTATGCTAGTTCACCCCCTCTTCTTTCTTCTAATTTTGTCATGGTATCAGAGCAGGTCGATCCCCTTGGATCGATCCTGTGGGTGGGCATACCACCGCATAGCTTCCGCTGCTACTACTCTCTTAGCCGCACGCCCCGTGGCGTGCGGCATTTTTTTCTTCCCGCCGTGCGCCCCGAGGCGCGCGGCGGTTCTCTGCCCGCTGTGCGCCCCGAGGCGCGCGGCGGGCTTCCGCCCCGTCGATCCACGCGTCGCCCTCGGGAGGCACTGCGACGGGCGACGGGGACCCGTCGCGGCCCCGCCGCCCCACTCTCGCGGCCCCGCCGCTTTCCTTCGCGGCCCCGCCACGTTCGGTCGCGGCCCCGCCACCGACCCGTCGCGGCCCCACCGCCACCGACATGTCGCGGCCCCGCCACCTCCGGTCGCGGGCGCGCCACCTTCTGTCGCGGCCCCGTCATCGACCTGTCGCGGCCCCGCCGCCCCTTCTGTCGCGGCCCCGCCACCGACCTGTCGCGCCCCCCCCCCCCCCCCCCCCCCCCCCTCCCCCCGCCATTTCCCGTCGTCTGTCGAGGCGACTTGAGGGGGCCGCTTGCTGTGGGGTGGCGGGTATGGGGGTGGCCGGTGTGCATTCATCCCTTTGCTCCTCCTCCTCCTTCGTCTCTCACTGCTGCAGCTGTCGCTGAGGGGGGTGGTTGTGTGGGAGACTAGGGTTTAGGGTTTAAGGGGGGTGCGTGGGAGTGGAGCTAGCGGTGTAGCAGTGGGTGTGTATCAGGGGGGTGGGACTGTTTGCGGAAGGTTGAGTGGAGGCTGCCAGCTTGTTGTCCGCAGCACCTGTAGTCCGGGGCGTTGTCCCGGTAGCCCAGTGAGCTAGACTTCTACGCCAGCCGCCCGTGGGTCCGTTGCTCATCTGCCGCTACTTTAGCCGCGGGGCCTGTTACTCCTGTAGTCCGGGCGCTTAGTCCGGTAGCCGCTGTGCCAGTCTGCCTCTTGTTGCCCGTGTGTCTGCAGCTTGAGCCGTCGCCTCCTATCTCCTCTCCCCTCACTCTCTCTCCTCCTCCTCACTTGCCCGTTGTGACTACCACTAGCTTTGTTCATAATTGTGAACTCTAAACTATTGCTTCTTGAACTTGTGCTCAGAATGTGTGGTGACATTGTGATCCACCCTGAGCTTGTACTGCTTT